CGTGAGAGGAGATAACTGTAGGAGTTTTGGTAATTGATGAGAAAATTAATAAATATTGAGTAATAATGGAAAATAAATGTTAAAGAGAGGCAAATATAGTGGTTAAAGGAAGAGATTTAGTTGATGGTACAAAAGGGATCAGTTTTTAGAGAGAGCAAAAAGAGGGATGGATTTTTTTGTGATGTTTTGAAGAAATTCAAGGTTGAAATTGTAATCAATCAAATTGATAAGAAGAAATTTTCAAAAAATTTGAGTGAAAGATGATGAATTTGAAGTGATTGGTGGGTTGAATTTTTAAGATTTAGAGAGAATGAGATGAGAAAGAAGAGAAGAGCAAATGATCGGTTGAGATAAGAGAGAGGGAATACTAGGGCTTTACGTATTAAAGCCCCGTGATTCACTGCTCAGCAAAAACCAATCGATCGTGTTCTATATAGGATTAATCAATTCTAGATTTATCTCGTTAATGTGTTTCTATAAGCACACCTAATATTATCTTTGTCAATTTTTTTTATTTCATGAATTATAATATATGAAAAAAAATCAAAACTAAAGATGGAGATCAATTATTAATTATCTTTAGGTTTCTATGATGCTTAATTAAAAAGGCATCTTAATTTATTTATTAACCGAATTGGGGAAATACATAAGGTTGCAAATTTCAGCAGCCACAAACACAAAGGCCAGCCGTGCACTTGTTAACGGTGCAACCATGGCAAATGCTAACACAGTCCTAGGGTTTTTGGCATTGGACTGGCTTTTGTTGCTTTATGGAGTGGTGCCCCTCTTCAAGCCCAACCACACAACCGCATACACACAGCCCAGCCGTGCGTTTGTTCACGGTACACCCATGGCATCTCTCAACACAATCTGAGAGTTTTGTGTATTGCGCTGGCGGGAAACCGAGGGGCCTAACGATCTCTACCGTCTAACCCCATGGTTCAACGCAAAGGCGCAATACGAGGCCCGTCAGCCCCAACCGCCCCCGGGTTTACCGTGACCCGAGGAAACATCGTGCCACGCTCGTGACCCTACGATGCCTGCCCACCTAGCCACCACTAGTGACTAGAAGTAGCTCACTTCAGACCAGCCAGACCCCCGCCTGCCCGTTAGCCAAAGGGGTGGTGGAGAGCTGACACCAGTCGTCCCCCTATAAAAAGCGTTAGAGATTTTCTCAATCTGCTACCAGTGACCGTAAAAATGTCTGAAATGGGGACACTTTTTTGCCCAGCCATCTCAGGGCCTTTCTCCTACTAACTTGGGGCCCCGTAACTTTCCTCTTGGTCACCATTGCTCCTTGATTCTGCTCGTTGCTCCATCAACTCACTCGAAGGTGCCCGCACATGGCTTAGACCGACAGCACCTGACTGGCTAGCTTATCCCAGGGCACCGACGTCTTCAATTCCATCAGGCAAACCTGCATCATTAAAGTAATTGTTTTCATCACTTACGATAAAAGATAATTTCTAATGTAATTTTCATCTATTTAATAATTACTTAATTTATTAGTTTTCATAATCATACTTTAATTAATAATAGGCACGAAGATAATAAAAAATTAACTGATATGAATGCGATGCATATTAATTATCCATTTTTAAAAATTAGATTTAAGTTTTAAATTTTGAATTTTTAACTTACTTGTGAACCATAATAAACTTAGGTTCATATTATATTTAAATGTTAATGCGACTCTTTTCTTATGTTACACAATAGAAAATAAAGCTGGTGAAAATAATAATAATAATAATAATAAAAATAACAAGAATAATGTGAATTAAAAGAGATCGAGAGACATACATGATCCAGTAGGTAGCATGGCTATCAAGAAGGCCAGTTTGGGAATTGCAGCTCTCTCCATTTTGTTTTTAGGGGTGTTTGGTTCGAAAGAATTCATTAGAATTTTATTGTTGAATATTTGATTTCAATGTTTGGTTCAAAATAATCTAATTCTAAGGAAAAGTGTCAGATTTTTAATAGTATTTAAAGTTTCAAAATAAAAAATTTACCTCTTGCTGTGATGTTCTATGATTTTGAAAATAAAAATTACATTATTTTCAAATTTGACCTGAATAAAAAATTATGAAATAATAATTACTATTTTTAAAAATATGTTTGAAAGTAATTACAAATTAATTGTAGATTTCTGCTACTAAACAATTTTTTTATATTATAATTAATGGCATTTAGCATAAAAATACCTTAAATAATCTATTCAATTTTTTTAAATATTATTTAAAGCATTTTTTTGATAAAATGCTTTAATAATTTTAGATAAAAAATTGAATGCGATTATTTAAAGCATTTTATAACAAAACACACCTTAAAAATCTCCTTAAAAAATTGGTCAATATTATTTAAGACGTTTTCTAACCAAAAACATCTTAAATAATTCAAAAAAAATCTTATAAGTAATCTCCAAAAATAAACCCTAAAAGGAAGAATCAAATCTAAGACTTTATAATTAATAATTATATGCTCTAACCGATTAAACTACTTCGATTTTTTTATATTTTATCTCTTAAATCTTATAAGTAATAAAATAAATTATTTAAGGTATTTTTAATCAAAAACACATAAAATAATACGATCCAAAAAAATTAAAAGATATTATATAAGACATTTTTTACCAAAAATAATTTAAATAATCTCCTTAAAAAAACATTAAAATGCTAAAAGAATGAGTCGAATCTATAACCTTATGGTTAATAGCTATATACTTGAACCGAATGAGCTATTTCAAAAATTTTTTATATTTTATCTCTTGAATCTTATAAGTAATGAAATGGATTATTTAATGTATTTTTAGTAAAAAACACATTAAATAATACAATCTAAAAAATTTAAGGGTATTATTTAAGATATTTTGACAAAAAATATCATAAATAATCTCCTTAAAAAAAAAACATTAAAGTGTTAGAATGGAATGTTGAACCAATGATTATAATTAATAGCCATATACTCTAACCTACTGAACTACTCTAATTTTTTATATTTTATCTCTTAAATCTTATAAGTAATGAAATTGATTATTTAAGAAATTTTTAGTAAAAAAAGGTCTTAAATAATACAATCTAAAATATTGAATGGTATTATTTAAGGCTTTTTTTTTACTAAAAATACCTTAAATAATATCCTTCAAAAAATTTTAAGGATTATTTAAGGTTATATTTTAAAGAGGGACTATTTAAGTCACTTTTAGACCAAAATTTCTTCAAATAATCCTCTTATATTTTTTAAAGGGCATTATTTATGATATTTTGAATAAAAAATATCTTAAATAATCTTATGATACATTTTAAAGGGATAATTTAAGGCATTTTTGAACCAAAAAGTCTTAAATAATATTTTTTAAAAATATTGCTATTAAATGTATTATTTATCGTTTGGTATTTATTATTAATAAATACTAATAAAAAATTACTATTAATATGTCAAGAAAATTATAGTAATTATTCAAAAATAAATATATATGAATTCTCCTCAACCAAATGAATAAATTTTAATACTATATGTCTTGAAAATAAAAAAAATCTCAAATATCGTACTTTTTCAAAGATCACATTTTTTTTGGAATGTAAAATTCTATAAACCCGATGTCCTATAAGTAATAGAAATATGCTTTGTGATATGAATTGGATGCTGAATATATATATATATATATATATATATAATTTTTTTGTTCTATATACATGGACATAAATCTCTATAGATGGAAGGCGATTTATCATTTACGGAAAAAAAATTGGTAAAGTATATATGGGAATTTGATGCCATCTTTATATATGGCCAGGTTGGATTTTATGAGGAAAAAAGTCTTCTCCACAGGTGAATAACTATAAATGTAAAATTTTTCAACACAAGTTTGGGGTCCTTGAAATTTATTTAAAAATTGTGGTTCTTAATTAATTAGTTTAGTATTCCATATGGCAAGTTCAATTTATATTTTGATAAATACTATTTATCCCGTCACTTTTGCTTCAAATATTTGTATTTAGACGTGATAATTTTTTGTTTGATTGTAATATCTTATTTATGAATTAGTTGATTTATCCATGAATTGGTAAATTTTATTTTAGAATTTATTCAATACTTACATATCAAAAGTACAACTATTTTTGTTTTTGAACAAAAGATTTGTCGATGTTAATTTTGAATTCAGAAGTCCAGATATGCTAGATACTATATTTCAAAAATGATAATATGAATTAATTTGATTAAATTTCGGATTTCAATTGAAAATTTGTTTGAGATAAAATTGATGGAGCAAGTAGCATTACGTTTTTTTTTTAGTATAAAATTAAAAAAAAAAATTATTTACACATCTTGACTCAACAACGATACAAAAAACAATGCATGCATCTTCCTTTAAAAATCAGTGACCCACTGCATGTGATTAATAATTAGATAGATTTTGACTCCAACATGATAAAACATAAATGAAACTTGTGGATGTGAAATTTAATTACTAATTCTAAGCTAAGATTTGCAGTCTTGAACTTGTACAATATTATGAATTGATTAAAGTTATATACGATTAAGATAAATTAATATTTAGTGATAATTTTCAGAAATCAAAGTACATGATTTCAATATTATTATTCATGAATAAAATTTTTTTCAACAAAAATTTCACAAATTAAAATCCTTGATTTCAATATTATTATTATCCACAATTAAATATTATTATTTTCGACATAAATTTTCGTGGTTAATCGATTTTCTCTTGTAGATATGAGCAAACTCAAATAATGTGAGCATGAATCGAAAAGAGTGAAAGATTTGTATTTAATTTATTATATAATTTAGATGATGAAAATCTTGAAATGCCAACAAAGGAACCTCTCTTTTTCATGGAAAAAAAAACATTTTATTATGTATCAACCTTAAAATTAAATAAAAAAAAAATCATAAGTCAAATATAAAAAATTATCTTTAAATTTTTTATTAAAATTTTAATCTGTATTTTTTGGTCTTTAGTCTTTGATTAAGCATAACCATAGAAAACCAGACGTAAATTCATAATTACATATCAACGAAAAACTTCAAAGGTTGAATTAATCTGTAAACAACATCCATTCGGCGGCGTAAACATGCACGCTTTAAATTTTAAAAGAGCACTGGATTTAAGTCATAACACAAACAAAACAAGCTCACATAAAAAAGCTAGTTCTCCAGGCGTCTGCATACCCAAATCGCATGTATTATTCTGGTCGCCAGGACACCGACTTCAACCTTGCAGACCAATAATACCTTCAAATAAAAGTAAACATATAAATCAACAAGAATAGATCAAGCAATCAAGAGGATAAAGGTATTTCAGAAAATAATTGACAACGTAATCAATGGAGCTTTCACTAGAAACCAGATAATATAATCGCACTTTGACTTGTACAATGTCACTAAAATGATGGATGTTCAGTGTCGAGTGTTAAAGTGTTAACATATAAAAAATTAAATGTGATCAAAGATGGCTAACTTACCACAAGCTACTCTGCCACCGGCATTTCCTGTGGTTTTGCTAAGCTCATGGCCCCCTGCCAATACAATTAACGATCAATAAGAAGAGAGAACAAACTTGATAATGCCCCTAATGCCCAAATCAATTTCAAAGTTCCTCGAAAATTTTTAAGTAAGATTAAACTACAGGCATCCAATAACTTGCTTACATCCCCTGCTGGCCTAATCTCCCTAGACAAAAGCATGAGCTATAAGCATAGTATTTCAAATTTGATTTTCTCTTGCAACCGGGAAGAAGAGATTGTGGGGCGGGGGAATGATCCAGTAAGTCGAACCACTAGTTAACTAGTGTTCCTAGCATGAGTAAGACTAAATATAAAAGAAGTAAACAACTTAAACAGACTCAAAATTTTGAACTATTACCCTTGCCAAGGTCGTCAGGATCCCCATGCACAACAACAGCTCTTCCAATAATGGAGTGTGGCCCAGCGAGAGGAATCTACCAAAGTATGGAACAATAACTTTCAGAAATGAACTTAAGTTGATCACAGGTTAGACCACAAGCCTTAAGCGAAAGAAATCAAATGTAAGCACAAAAGAATAAGGAGTTGAACAAAAACCTGTTTGTCAATAATAGAGAAAGTCGCACAGCCTAGACCATACAAATAAATTAACAGTGTTAATACAATAAATATAAACTTAAAACACTTGAATCGAAACAAAGAAAAGAAAGCCAAATACAAATATTTTGAAACTGTTAGTAATGAACTAGAAAGCTTATGCTCATTGACAAAAAGAAAATATTACCATCATCACCAACAGTGACATTTCCTAGATCACCAGCATGGCGATTCTCGTCGTCTGGGGCACCATGCTCTTTTCCAGCAGGATTAAAGTGCGGTCCTGCAGACAGATTAATCACAAAGTAAAAATCCCCAAACAATTAACATCGGATTTTTTTTTTCTCTTTTCCTTCCAACTTCAAACAAAAAGGTAAAAAATCAATCTTTCAGAATTTTTACCTGTTGACATGCAACCATTTGTCGTGTCCCCAAGGGCATGAACGTGGAAGCCATGGAGCCCAGGCTTAAGACCAGAAATGTTCCCAGTCACGGTAGTTGGACCTAAAAATGGCAGAAAAGATTAACTAACTTTGACAAAAAAAGATAGAAATAAAGAAACCAAGAGGTCTTATCAGGGTTGTGATTTACCATCTCCCTCTTGAGCAAAGAAAATAGTTCCACTAACACCTTCACTGCTGCTAAGGACAGCAACGGCCTTCACCATTTTTCTATGTGATCTATACTACACAATGTTAGATATCCCAGTAAACTATTTTAAATAAATGAAAATATCTTTGATAGCAACATTAATGACAATGGTAGAAAAGTGTCAAAAAATATAATTCTGATAACTTATATACACTCAAAAGTTAGTTTCTGTTTCACTACATCATCGAATTTTTTTCAAAAACCAAGTAAATAAATGCTAGTTTTGAAAGGTTGAAAAATTACTAATTATACACCGACAGCGCATCAAATATAAATTCATTAAAGTTCATTAAACATATATTATACGTCTAACCCTAAACCCTAAACCAACAAGGTTACCAAATAGCATATCTTCACCAAAGAAGATAATTTCTCTAAACTATAAAAATGGATTATTTTCATGCATTATTTTTAAATCATATAACAGCAAAATAAAAAAATTCTCTCAACTAAGGATAGATAATAAAAAATAATGAAAAAAAATGGTTTAAAAATTGAAAATTCAACTACTTTCTTCAGCAAAGAATCATCTTTAATATGTATTTTAAAAAAAAAAAAACCCTTTTATTGTTTAACTTTCTTCAATCACATCCAAAAAATAGGATTCCAGTTCACGGCCATCAAAATCAAGCTGATGTTATAATCGGAAAAATCCTACATGAAAGCCAAATCTAGGTACAAAATAAATCTAGAGCAGATCTTCAATAAAAACTGGAGAACAGCAAATCAAGCTTAAGATAGATAAATGAATCAGATCAGAACTTTGAAACCCTAAAAATTGAATGGAAATTAAGAAGTCAAAAGAAGCTAACCTCAGAGTACCCCTTCACAGCAAATGAAAGAAAACAACAAAAAGGAGTGATCAAAATGAGTGTTGTCCAGGCATTTAATCAAATTTATAGAAAAAAGGGAGGCAGGTTTCCAGTGTTTATATCCACCTACCCTTTCAGGGTACAATGGTAATTGTGCTATCTGAAAAAAAAAAAAATCTTTTACAAAATCGGAAAATCCAATCCAACCAACAACATTTGGGACAGTTTCTGATTTCGCCATGGGCTTCTTTTATTATTTTATTACTATTATTTTAATGGTCCTTTTTTCTTTTTTAAATGATCGTTCTATTACAAAATTGAGACTGTTATAATTTTCAGTGGTTTTTTTTTTATTTTTTTTTCAAATATTAAATGGTTTTGAGTTTTGGGGAAAAACTCAAAAAAAAATTCTTAACAAATGTTTTCAAATATCTCTATTTAAAAAAAATCTAAAATTTATTTCAATAATTTCATTTTTTTCAAATTTTTTCCTAATTATAATCACATAAAGTTTTTTTTTTTTTTTCATTTTGACAAATAAAGTGCAACATATATTTTGGAAATTTATTTTCCTTGGGTTTTTTAAATTTTATTTTTGAAATTTAAGAAAATAAATTTGACATTATATTATTATTATATTAAAATTTAAACTTTTTTCCTATTAAAAAACTAATTTTTAAAATTAAATGTTTCATAATTTTTTGTACCAAAAAAATAAGAAATTATGAAAAAAAGCTTTTAGAATATAAAAGAATTGAGACTCAGTTTTTTTGTTTTTTAAAATGAAAGAATATATAATTATAATAAATTTTTAAAAATACAAAAAATATATATATTACAAAAGAATTCTTATGATTCATAAAAAAAAAAAATTGTATAAAGCCATCTTTGGAGGTCTAAATGTTTAGGTAAAAATCATTTTAATTCTTTTAAGCTATCTAATGCACCATTATGTTCATTTGTAATGCTGATAAAATATTTTTTTTATTAATTATTCTTTATTAAAGAAAGTTCATTTTAAATTTAATTATGATGCTCAACGAGAAATTTTTTTATCATATTATCAAATGAACCCTAAATTCACAATGAATCAATTAAGTATTGAAAAAAGTTAAGATGACGCATGAACAACAATACATAATTCAATATAATATAAAAACAAAATTAAAGTATATAGTAATTTAATTATGAGAAATAAAAATTAAAAGGCATCCAAGTACTTAAATTTTAATTTTTAAATATTAACTATTTACTCAAATATAATTTTGTTTATGTTAATTTTAATTAACTATTAACATTTCAGCGCACAAATAAATTCTTGGCTGCCCCAGCTATTTTAACAGATCAGGACACTGACCCCAGAGTAGGAAATGGCCCAAATTCATCAACTTTTTTATTCATGGAGAGAAATCAAAGCCCAATAAGAGGAGGCGACTGCCTGTTTCGTGTTGAACGTTTTTTTTTTGTCACTAAATAAAAAAGCTGAAGACTATGTCCTGTTAGGCTACGTCTACAAGCAAGTGTATGTAAAGATTTTATTAAAAATTAAATATGGAAAATATAGAAACTCTTTATTATAAGAAAAGAATAATTATAGTCACTCAAAGAAATAGAAATAAACACCTCTTGCTCTTCCTCAAACAGTCTAACTCACTTGATGGATTGCTAAGGATTAATCGATGGATAAAATTTAGCAGCTTCAGCCTTTCTGTAGGCTTCATTCCCTCTGCTATTGCATCATCCGCTACATCGCTTGGCCATTTTTTCTTCTTTTCTTTTCGGCGCCTAATATGTGAGAAGCTTAAAGCTTCTGCTCTTTCTTTCTTATTTGCTGAATGGATGCATGGCCTTCCGTTTCTTTATTTTCCTTTTGAAATGAAATGGCCAGTAGCCATCTAGTCAACTAATGTAGCTGGACTCATGTGGAGACTTTTAGCTTAAAAGGAATTGCCTCATATTTCATGTCTCATGCTTTAGGCAGGAGAGGCACCAAATGAGATTATTTCTTAGCCTGCATAAACCAAAAAAACTTAAAACAGGTAATATTCTACAGTTTAAAAATACAGCTTATACTAAAAATAGGTTGGTTCAATTAGTAGGATCATTTTTTTCGACATAAGTGGTTTTAAATTTGAGTTCAGTCGGTGATTTTTTATTGAGATCATCTTATTATTTTTTAGATTGTTTAGTACGATATATCTTATCTTGATAAACTAAGCAACTAATCTATTTTCGATTTAAAAAAAATATATACAGCTTCTCATTTGTCAACATTTGGGGCTAATGTTAAGATTTAATTATATTTTCAGGGTTAAGAACCAACAAAATTCCGCCAAAGGCTTGGTCACAATATTTATTTCTTAACTCATTGAAATAGAAAGTTGCCGACTGAGTAAGAGAGCCCCCTTTTTTTTGGCCTCCATTTGTTATCCTAGTTAGTTTGCAGTTTAGCAACTTCATTCGTTCATAACTAAGCAGGAATTTCAAATCTGGTATTACAGCCAGACAAGACAAGAAACATAGGAGAACACTAATGCACCAAGATTCTCCTTGATTCAGCTTCCAACTTTGGCAGTGTATGAATTTATACGTTTGTTCTGTAATATTAGAAAGACAGTTAATTCTTGTCTGTCCTTACTATTTTCTTGCTTTTGGTGAATACTCAATATCACTCTTATTATTTCTCCATCAGGAAGAAAGATTATTACACCATAAATATCATTTCGAATACTAAATTTCTAATTTCAGTGATCGATTTTAACAATTTCCATTTGTACATAATTGGAAAACCTACAAATGAATACTAATGGGAATTGCAGTATCTGTTCCCAAGATGAAGCTGATATCCCTTGGAGAATCAAGAAGACCTTGCAGGAAATTGAAGATGTGAAGCTTTCTATGTTTAATTACAGGAAAACATATAGATTCTTTGGTAGGTAGGATAGAGTTTTGTTTTATTGCTTTGAGAGTCCAAGAGTTGACTACTAGTATTCCAGGGTGTAATTAGGAACAAAACTATTTGAGTTTACATAAGAAAATGGCAAAGCCGGCAATGAGATTCCAATAATCATAGACAATTGGCAAAGCCGGCATGTTTGTAATGGTGACTTTAGCCATGGAAACCTACTCCATATTAGATGTGAAGGAAAATCATTACTACTTTGAAAGCTAAAAATGTAACTGAATATAAGAGATTTAAAGCAAGAAAAATTAGTAATAATATATTGGATTGTTGTTTTGTGCCAAAAGAGTTAAAAAATCTGTTAAAAAGGGGAAACAAAAGTGACAGAAAATCAAAACAATAATCATATTATGTCAAGCAAGTGCTACTTGCAGATGAAAATTAGGCAAAAATCATGTTCTTCCTTTGGCACTTTACCCTGGAACATGACAAAATTGAAGTATTACTCCTGGTTGTCGTTGATTTCAAAGCTGGTAGGTTGGCTTGAAATTACCTTGGACGATGGGGTTACTTGACAATTACTACAGTTGGCTTATAAAAATGTCTCGATTGCATCTTGTCCTGTGTTTTTCTAATGTAAAATTTTTAATGTACATTTTCTTTTCTTAGTGACAAAGACAATGGGGAAATTGAAGTCCTTGCCATAGACAAGTCAAATACAAAATTCCAAATGGAAAGAACAGGCAATGGTACTATAAAAGAAGAGTAATTTGGGCCACCAGCCAGTGCATTTTATCAAAGCATTTCTTTCTCATTTGCTCAATGGTCCATAGTCTCAGCCACAAACCATGAAGAACAAAGCAATTGAAATGAGAAGTTGTGAAGGAAAAGGTAAAATGATCCAAGTTTTTTTGCCTTCCATCTCCAAATTTGCCATCATTGTCTGTCTGTCATTAGTTTTTCCATCTCCAATCGTGTCGCTGCAATCTGCAATCAACGTTTGGCCTAAACCAAGGCTAATTTTATGGCCAAAACCTGTCGCCACATTCCTCTCACCAAGTTTCACCATCAATTCCCCTCACCACCAATACCTAACCCCCGCCATCAACCGCTACCTCCGCCTTATCCAGACGGAGCACCATCATCCCCTTGTGTCCCCTTCGGTCAACATCTCCAACTCATCCGCTCTAGAAATTCTTACCGTGAATATAATTGATCTCACCGCCCCTCTCCAACATGGGGTCAATGAATCCTACTCTCTCTCCATTTCTGAAGTAGGTGTCACCGCCTATTTGACAGCCACCACTGTATGGGGAGCAATGATGGGTCTAGAGACGTTTTCCCAGCTGGTGTGGGGTGATCCCTCATCCGTCCCGGTGGGTTTGTATGTCTGGGATGCTCCCTTGTTTGCTCACAGGGGAATATTGTTGGATACATCAAGGAATTATTATGGGGTGGAAGACATATTGAGGACTATAGAAGCAATGAGTGCTAACAAGCTTAATGTGTTCCATTGGCATATTGCGGATTCACAGTCTTTTCCTTTAATGGTGCCCTCGGAGCCTGAGCTTGCGGCCAAGGGATCTTATGGACCTGACATGATATACTTTCCCTCAGATGTGGCTAGGATTGTTCAGTTTGGCTTGGAACATGGGGTCAGGGTCCTGCCAGAAATCGATTCACCAGGTCAGTTTGTTATAACAGTAATTTTTTCCTCTAACAAAGTATGACTTTGTAAATACACTCATGTTCATGTGCAATGAGTCTCATCTTATAGATGACTGTGATCAAAATGAATAAAGAAGGCGAAAATTTTGCCTTGTCAGTTAACTAAATTGGTTGCAACAATTCTTGAATTTCCCCAGCAAACATGAAACATCAGGACCATTTATATATATATATATATATATATATATATATATATATATATATATATAAATGGAGCCAGGGTCCTACCTGAAATCGATTCACCAGGTCAGTTTGTTATAACAGTAATTTTTTCCTCTACAATACTTAATCATGTAGTAGTTGTGAATACAATCATGTTCATATGGAATGAGTCTCATCTTATAGATGATTGTGATTAAAATGACTAAAGAAGGCGAAAATTCTGCCATGTCAGTTTACTAAATTGGTTGCAACAATTCTTGAATTTCCCTACCAAACATGGAACATCAGGATCGTTTAATAGGAAACTACGAGTCACAAATATTTGAGTTTTAGTATTCATTTTAACCTGTATTAAGGTTTTTTTTTCCCCTATATTAACTACGGGAATCTCGAACCTCTTTCCATATCCCAACATAAAATCTCAGATCTTATCTGTCGTGAAATTTCCTTGATGATTGGGGCTACGCATTTTGCCTATTCACACAAGCTTGAAAGAGCACTTTTGTTAGCTCAATGATTAGTGCATTATCTCCTGTTCAAAGAGCAGGTTCAAATCCCCATCCCCACCCCAACCCCCAAAAAATAAACCACTTTACTAGATCCTAAATATGCTCCAACTTTGAAGTGGTCAAGCTGTAAAACCAGTTCCTAATAATAATGAAAGGAAATGTATCAGTCATTCACTATGTAGCTTTGAATCTTACAAATTCAGTCCATTCGCCTAATCTCATTCTATCGGTCGCAGTCAATTGCATATGTCATGATTCCTGATTATAAAAACATGAACATGGTCATGGTCCAACATTGACTAGATCAGGTATTGCATCTTTAGAGATAAGTCTGTGAGACCAACATGGAGAAAGTATTTATTTAAGAAACCATGGTTTCATGTCAATATCATGCAAGCAAAAATAGTACTTAGTAAATAGTATTAAGACCTTTTTCATGCTTGTAAATATCAAGTGCCTGAAACTTGCATCTTTAACTAATTAACTTCAATGCTATTTATCTAAATTTTTGTTGTATTTTAACATTGACTAAGTCCAATCCTAAGAAACAGAGCAATTTGTTTTTTTCTAAACCAAGTGCACACTGCACCTTACATGAAATGAGATGATCACAAAATTTTTACTTTGCAATTGCAGGCCATACAGGATCATGGGCAGAAGCCTACCCAGAAATTGTTGCCTGTGCTAACATGTTCTGGTGGCCAGCTGGAAGTCAATGGCCTGACAGGCTCGCATCTGAACCAGGAACTGGCCATTTAAACCCCTTAAACCCCAAAACCTACAAAGTTATCAAGAACGTAATTCATGATGTAGCCACTCTATTCCCCGAGACATTTTACCATGGAGGAGCTGATGAGATAGTTCCTGGATGTTGGAAAGCTGATCCCACGATTCAGTCTTTCCTTTCCAATGGTGGAACCCTCAGCCAGGTCCTGGAAACCTTTATTAACTCTACTTTGCCTTACATTATATCCCTTAATCGTACCGCGGTCTATTGGGAGGATGTTTTATTAGATGACAAGGTTAAAGTAGACCCCTCATTTCTTCCAAGGGAGCATACCATTTTACAAACATGGATCCATGGCACAAACAGTACCAAAAAGATCACTGAAGCTGGATACCGGGCAATTGTATCGTCTTCAGATTTCTATTATTTGGATTGTGGACATGGAGGTTTTTTAGGGAATGATAGCCAATATGATCAGCAAACAGCAGGAGGTAACTCTGGAAATGGAGGATCTTGGTGTGGACCATTTAAAACATGGCAAACAATTTATAACTATGACATAACTAATGGTTTGAGTGAAGATGAAGCCAAATTGGTGCTAGGTGGAGAGGTGGCATTGTGGTCAGAACAAGCTGATCCTACAGTTTTGGATTCAAGGATTTGGCCAAGAACTTCAGCAATGGCTGAGGCATTGTGGTCAGGAAACCGTGATGAGAGTGGGAAAAAGAGGTATGCTGAGGCAACTGATAGGTTGAATGAGTGGAGGTATAGAATGGTAAGTAGAGGGATCAAGGCTGAACCAATTCAACCATTGTGGTGTGTTAGGAATCCAGGAATGTGCAATATAGTCAATTCATTTTGATTTTATAGTTTTCAATTAATTGTTCTTGTTCAACACAGAATTGAGAAACAAGTTAGATGAAATTTGGTTCTCTAATTCACTTGCTTTATGCCTCTTACATTTACAACTTGTATTGATGTTTCAATTGATTAGCAAAAGAATGTGTCTTATATTATATTGCATAGCTTCTAATTTTCTTCTTACTTCTAGCAATAAATAGTTAACACATTGGAGAAAAACAAGCAATTGTTTCTGGGAAGAAATCATGCAAGAGTGTGAAACCCAAAGGCAGCAATTTTTCAGAGAAATTATGCAGGAGGAAGCTAGATGATAGAAAGAGTTGCATAAGAAAATGCAACTGAAAGACAAAGATTCATGACAAAGATTCATGAAATGGAAAGACAATAAAATTGAGACCCACACCAGTAAATGAAATTTAAAGTTGAAGGGAGGGGGAAATGCATTACATTGGTGATACAATACAAAAAAATATATGAATATAATATGATTTAAAATTTTAATAAAAATTATATATGTATTTGGTAAAAATAAAAAATATATATATGTTTCATGCTTAAGATATCAACGCGAATCGTGACATTTTAATTTTTGTATTTAACATGATATGAAATAATTAAACAAAAATGCATGAATTACCGCTCTACCTTTTGACACACTATTCTGTGGGGTTTCAGCCGTTTTGAATAGTTTTCCAGAATTCTTGGTGGGACAAAAACCCAGTGTAGTCCAAAAATAAGGTTCTTGGATCCTTAGTTTAACTAGCCTAAAGGGCTAAAATCCAAACTTGGCCCATGACAATTTGCTTATTCATTTTTCTTTTCTTTTTTCAAATTAATTTCTTCTATCAGCTCGTCAGCAGCCTAATTCGATCAACAAAAACCAATCCTTTCAAAATTACAAAACCTAAATCCCGAAAATCTCAATTTCCCATTTTTAATTTTTAAACTTCTTTCATCCCCACTTTTTATGCAATTAACCAACTAAAAAGGAATGCAATCTCTTGAAAGTATCACAGATTCCCAATTCCCTCAAAACCCTAATAATTTTTCTTCTTCTTCTTCTTCATCTGTTAATGGGTTGCATGGGTGGCTCTTTGAATGCCATGGGCTTTGGCATAACTTAGCTCTCATTATTTCCTCTCTTATTTTCGTTCTTTTCTTGGGTTTTCAAGCCAAAAAAAGCTTCCAAAAGCTCTCTCATGGAAGGTCTTATATCATGATTTCTTATTATGGTTGCGTTTGGCTCGTTAGCTTGCTCAATCTTGCTTGGTGTTTTCTTCAGGTTTGTGGCTTTTTTTTTTGTTCTCTAAGTTGACTTTAAAGATTTGGGTTTCTCTTGAATTTGCTTATTGATGGTTTAAACTTGCTCTTTTTTAGATGAAATTGAATTGCTTTTGGTTGTTTCTCTGAATTTAATGATGGGCATTTGCTAAGGCTTTAATCTTCTGGTGGTTGCTTTTATTACTATAAAGCAAATAGCAATGGAAGTTGCTATAAAGGAAAATGGAATGGTAAACAGCATAGTCAATTGGTTAAAAATGAACGAATTACCAAAATATGACACTAATTGTAGCATAATTTGGTCTACTTTAGTGTAAAATCAATTATTTTGTATCTAAATGAGTGTAATTTTTTTTTAAATTTTTAATTCTTCACAGATAGTGTTTACTATTTAGTTTATATCCAATATGCTTTTTCTTTTTTGCTTCTGTGGCAAATGCAACAACTGAATGGTTCCTAAATTGGTAGAACGTAACTTGTGTGTCTTTGGTTCACTAGAAAAAGCTGAAAGTTGTTCAGTGATCTTTTCATCTTATGGGATATTAGGAATAGGATTATTGGACAGTTGCCCAGATTCAGTTTTTAGGTGGGGTTTTTTTTATATGTATGAACAACTTTGAGAAGCTAATAATTGAATGAATAAGGATAATTGGATTGAAAATGTGTATGATAAAAGCATTGTTTCTTGAGCTTACATGTCCGATACATGGGTCTAAGGCTCTAAGCACTAAGCTCTCTATATGGCATGAGTTTGAAGCTAACTCTATTATTAGCATGAAGCCATGAATGGTATATGATATCCTGATTTTGCCTTTTTAATTCTGTATATTTCTGCTTTATAAGCATGAGTAAGATTTTTTTGGTTTTAATTTTTACATGTGCCTTGTATGTTGATGATTAGATTGTCTTGGGACCTTAATGGAAAGCATGTTATTCTTAATCTGGCTTATTGTGTTAAGCAGCTGGGCAGCATATCATTTGATGGTTTGAACAAGTTGGGTACTGAATTATATGATTTGAAACAACTTATATCCACTTGGATTAATGAAATATTACATGCGTTTGAAGATCCTTATTCTTGTTGTGAGTAAGATAATTTTTTCTGCTTCCTAGCTGGATGGCTAGCTTTAAACTTTCTCTTGATTGATGCAGGCTTGGGAATGCACTCCTGGAAAGGAAATGGCATGGAATATCCTATCATTATTTACTACTTCTGGGATGTTGTTCCTGGAAGTTAGCTTGGTGGCCTTTTTGCTTCAAGGAAATTATGCCAGCGGGTTGGAAGCTTTGACACGAACATTTGTTGTTTCAGGGCTTATTGCTGGTTTGGACTTACTTCTGAAGGTATTTCTTTTATTCTTAAATGTTGCACCCTTCTTGGAAGTAGCACTATCTGTTGCTGACTTTGTCAAGACATGCATCAGATGGTGGTGGAAGAACATGACAGTTTCTTCCTTACTGCACTTTAATATTAATAGCAGAGTCTGCATTCCACGTGGCCTACTTTTAGTTGTAACATACTTTAACTTCTTCAGCAATCTAGATGTGAAGTATGATTGTATATACATGTTTAGCTTCTTTTTATTTTCTAATATTTAAATGTGATCAAAGATGGCTAACTTACCACAAGCTACTCTGCCACCGGCATTTCCTGTGGTTTTGCTAAGCTCATGACCCCCTGCCAATATAATTAACCATCAATAAGAAGAGAGAACAAACTTGATAATGCCCCTAATACCCAATTCAATTTCAAAGTTCCTGGAAGATTTTTAAGTAAGATTAAACTACAGGCATCCAATAACTTGCTTAAATCCCCTGCTTAAACTAAAGGCATCCGATAACTTGCTTACATCCCCTGCTGGCCTAATCTCCATAGACAAAAGCATGAGCCATAAGCATAGTATTTCAAATTTGATTTTCTCTTGCAACCGGGGGCAGGGGAATGATTCAGGAAGTCGAACCACTAGTTAACTAGTGTTCCTAGCATGAGCAAGACTAAATATAAAAGAAGTAAACAACTTAAACAGACTCAAAATTTTGAATTATTACCCTTGCCAAGGTCGTCAGGATCCCATGCACAACAACAGCTCTTCCAATAATGGAGTGTGGCCCAGCGAGAGGAATCTGCCAAGGTATGGAACAATAACTTTCAGAAATGAACTTAAGTTGATCACAGGTTAGACAACAAGCCTTAAGTGAAAGAAATCAAATGTAAGCACAAAAGAATAAGGAGTTGAACAAAAACCTGTTTGTCAATAATAGAGAAAGTCGCACAGCCTAGACCATACAAATAAATTAACAGTGTTAATACATGAAATATAAACTTAAAAAACTTGAATCGAAACAAAGAAAAGAAAGCCAAATATAAAATGAACTAGAAAGCTTATGGTCATTGACGGAAAGAAAACATTCATACCATCATCACCAACAGTGACATTTCCTAGATCACCAGCATGGCGATTCTCGTCGTCGGGGGCACCATGCTCTTTTCCAGCAGGATTAAAGTGGGGTCCTGCAAACAGATTAATCACAAAGTAAAAATCCCCAAAAAATTAACATCAGATACTGTTTTTTTCTCTTGCCTTCCAACTTCAAACAAAAAAGCAAAAACTCAAATCTTTCAGAATTTTTACCAGTTGACATGCAACCATTTGTTGTGTCCCCAAGGGCATGAACGTGGAAGCCATGGAGCCCAGGCTTAAGACCAGAAATGTTCCCAGTCACGGTAGTTGGACCTAAAAATGGCAGAAAAGATTAAATAACTTTGAAAAAAAAGACAGAAATAAAGAACCAAGAAGTCTTATCAGGGTTGTGATTTACCATCTCCCTCTTGAGCAAAGAAAATAGTTCCACTAACACCTTCACTGCTACTAAGGACGGCAACGGCCTTCACCATTTTTCAATGTGATCTATACTACACAATATTAGATATCCCAGCAAGCAATTTTACATAAATGAAAATACCTTTGATAGCAACATAAATGACAATGGTAGACAAGGGTCAAAAAATATAATTCTGATAGTTTATATACACTCGAAAGTTAGTTTCTGTTTCACTACATCATCAATTTTTTCCAAAACCAAGTAAATAAATGCTAGTTTTGAAAAGTTGAAAAATTACTAATTATACACCAATAGAGCATCAAATATAAATCCATTAAAGTTCATCAATCATATATTATACATCTAACCCTAAACCCTAAACCAACAGGGTTACCAAATAGCAAATCTTCACCAAAGAAGATAATTTCTCTAAACTATAAAAATGGATTATTTTCATGCATTATTTTTAAATCATATAACAGCAAAAGAAAAAAAATTCTCTCAACTAAGGATAGATAATAAAAAAAAATGAAAAGAAAATCTATGGTTTAAAAATTGAAAATTCAACTACTTTCTTCAGCAAAGAATCATCTTTAATATGTATTTAAAACAAAAAAAACCATTTTATTGTTTAACTTTCTTCAATCACATCCAAAAACTAGGATTCACATTTCACAGCCATCAAAACCAAGCTGATGTTATAATCGAAAAAATCCTACATGCAAGCAAAATCTAGGTACAAAATAAAGCTAGAGCAGATCTTGAATAAAAACTGGAGAACAGCAAATCAAGCTTAAGATACATAAATGAATCAGATCAGAACTTAGAAACCCTAAAAATTGAATGGAAATTAAGAAGTCAAAAGAAGCTAACCTCAGAGTACCCCTTCACAGTATATGAAAGAAAACAACAAAAAAAGGTGATAAAAATAAGCGTTGTCTAGGAATTTAATCAAATTTATGGAAAAAGGGAGGCAGGTTTCTAGTGTTTATCGCCACCCACCCGTTTGAAGGTATAATGGTAATTGTGCTATCTGAAAAAAGAAAGAAAAATCTTTTACAAAATTGTAAAATCTAATCCAACCAATAAGATTTGGGACAGTTTCTGATTTTACCATGGGCTTCTTTTATTATTATTATTATTTTAATGGTCCTTTTTTATTTTTTAAATGATCGTTCTATTACAAAATTGAGACTGTTATAATTTTCAGTGGTTTTTTAAAATTTTTTTTTTCAAATATTAAATGGTTTTGAGTTTTGGGGAAAAACTCAAAAAAAAAATTCTTAACAAATGTTTTCAAATATCTCTATTTAAAAAAAATCTAAAATTTCTTTCAATAATTTCATTTTTTTCAAATTTTTTCCTAATTATAATCACATAAAGTTCTTTTTTTTTTTTTTTTCATTTTGACAAATAAAGTGCAACATATATTTTGGAAATTTATTTTCCTTGCGTTTTTTAAATTTTATTTTTGAAATTTAAGAAAATAAATATGACATTATATTATTATTATATTAAAATTTAAACTTTTTTCCTATTAAAAAACTAATTTTTTTAAAATTAAATGTTTCATAATTTTTTATACCAAAAAAATAAGAAATTATGAAAAAAAAAACTTTTGGAATATAAAAGAATTAAGACTCAGTTTTTTTGTTTTTTAAAATGAAAGAATATATAATTATAATAAATTTTTAAAAATACAAAAAATATATATATTACAAAAGAATTCTTATGATTCATAAAAAAAAAAAATTGTATAAAGCCATTTTGGAGGTCTAAATGTTTAGGTAAAAGTCATTTTAATTCTTTTAAGCTATCTAATGCACCATTATGTTCATTTGTAATACTAATAAAATATTTTTTTATTAATTATTCTTTATTAAAGAAAGTTCATTTTAAATTTAATTATGATGCTCAATGAGAAATTTTTTATCATATACTATTTACTCAAATTTTAATTTTTAAATATAACTATTTACTCAAATATAAATTTATTTATGTTAATTTTAATTAACTATTAACATTTAAGCGCACAAATAAATTCTTGATAAATTTTTATTAATTTTTGTCACAAGAGCCATTTTTTCCAATAAACAAAAATTAGTAAAAAATTTTCATTATCATGGAAATGAAATTATCCGCTGTGTGGCAACGTTGAGTTGTCAAAATTAGGTGACTTTTCAACTTTCCTAACATTTTAAAGGGCTGCCCCAGCTATTTTAACAGATCAGGACACTGACCCCAGAGTAGGAAATGGCCCAATTTCATCAACTTTTTAATTCATGGTGAGAAATCAAAGCCCAATAAGAGGAGGCGACTGCGTGTGTTGAACGTTTTTTTTTGTCACTAAATCAAAAGGCTGAAGACTATATCCTGTTAGGCTACGTCTACAAGCAAGTGTATGTAAAGATTTAATTAAAAATTAAATATGGAAAATATAGAAACTCTCTATTATAAGAAAAGAATAATTATAGTCACTCAAAGAAATAGAAATAAACACCTCTTGCTCTTCCTGAAACAGTCAAACTCACTTGATGGATTGCTAAGGATTAATCGATGGATAAAAATTAGCAGCTTCAGCCTTTATGTAGGCTTCATTCCCTCTGCTATTGCATCATCCGCTACATCACTTGGCCATTTTTTCTTCTTTTCTTTTCGGTGCCTAATATGTGAGAAGCTTAAAGCTTCTGCTCTTTCTTTCTCATTTGTTGAATGGATGGATGGCCTTCCGTTTCTTTATTTTCCTTTTGAAATGAAATGGCCAGTAGCCGTTTAGTCAACTAATGTAGCTGGACTCATGTGGAGACTTTTAGCTTAAAAGGAATTGCCTCATATTTCATGTCTCATGCTTTAGGCAGGAGAGGCACCAAATGAGATTATTTCTTAGCCTGCATAAACCAAAAAAACTTAAAACAGGTAATATTCTACGGTTTAAAAATACAGCTTATACTAAAAATAGGTTGGCTCAATTAGTATGATCATTCTTTTCGACATAAGTGATTTTAAATTTGAGTTCAGTCGGTGATTTTTTATTGAGATCATCTCATTATTTTTTGTACTGTTTAATACGACACATCTTATCTTAATAAACTAAACAACTAATCTATTTTCGATTTAAAAAAAAAAATACAGCTTCTCATTTGTCAACATTTGGGGCTAATGTTAAGATTTAATTATATTTTCAGGGTTAAGAACCAACAAAATTCTGCCAAATGCTTGGTCACAATATTTATTTCTCAACTCATTGAAATAGAAAGTTGCCGACTGAGTAAGAGAGCCCCCTTGTTTTTGGCCTCCATTTGTTATCCTAGGTAGTTTGCAGTTTAGCAACTTCATTCGTTCATAACTAAGCAGGAATCTCAAATCTGGTATTACAGCCAGACAAGACAAGAAACATAGGAGAACACTAATGCACCAAGATTCTCCTTGATTCAGCTTCCAACTTTGGCAGTGTATGAATTTATACGTTTGTTCTGTAATATTAGAAAGACAGTTAATTCTTGTCTGTCCTTACTATTTTCTTGCTTTTGGTGAATACTCAATATCACTCTTATTATTTCTCCATCAGGAAGAAGATTATTACACCATAAATATCATTTCGAATACTAAATTTCTAATTTCAGTGATCGATTTTAACAATTTCCATTTGTACATAATTGGAAAACCTACAAATGAATACTAATGGGAATTGCAGTATCTGTTCCCAAGATGAAGCTGATATCCCTTGGAGAATCAAGAAGACCTTGCAGGAAATTGAAGATGTGAAGCTTTCTATGTTTAATTACAGGAAAACATATAGATTCTTTGGTAGGTAGGATAGAGTTTTGTTTATTGCTTTGGAGAGTCCTAAGAGTTGGAGCTACTAGTATTCCAGGGGTGTAATTAGGAACAAAACTATTGAGTTTACATAAGGAAATGGCAAGCCCGGAATGGAGATTCCAATAATCATAGAAAATTGGCAAAGCCGGCAATGAGATTCCAATAATCATAGACAATTGGCAAAGCCGGCATGTTTTGTAATGGTGGACTTTAGCCATGGAAACCTACTCCATATTAGATGTGAAGGTAAATCGATTACTACTTTGAAAGCTAAAAATGTAACTGAATATAAGAGATTAAAGCAAGAAAAATTATAATAATATATTGGATTGTTGTTTGTGCCAAAAGAGTTAAAAAAATCTGTTAAAAAGGGGAACAAAAGTGACAGAAAATCAAAACAATAATCACATTATGTCAAGCAAGTGCTACATGCAGATGAAAATTAGACAAAAATCATGTTCTTCCTTTGGCACTTTACCCTGGAACATGACAAAATTGAAGTATTACTCCTGGTTGTCGTTGATTTCAAAGCTGGTAGGTTGGCTTAAAATTACCTTGGACGATGGGGTTACTTGACAATTACTACAGTTGGCTTATAAAAATGTCTCGATTGCATCTTGTCCTGTGTTTTTCTAATGTAAAACTTTTAATGTACATTTTCTTTTCATAGTGACAAAGACAATGGGGAAATTAAAGTCGTTGCCATAGACAAGTCAAATACAAAATTCCAAATGGAAAGAACAGGCAATAGTACTATAAAAGAAGAGTAACTTGGGCCACCAGCCAGTGCATTTTATCAAAGCATTTCTTTCTCATTTGCCCAATGGTTCATAGTCTTAGCCACAAACCATGAAGAACAAAGCAATTGAAATGAGATGTTCTGAAGGAAAAGGTAAAATGATCCAAGTTTTTTTGCCTTCCATCTCAAAATTTGCCATCATAGTCTGTCTGTCATTAGTTTTCCCATCTCCAATCGTGTCCCTGCAATCTGCAATCAACGTTTGGCCTAAACCAAGGCTAATTTTATGGCCAAAACCTGTTGCCACATTCCTCTCACCAAGCTTCACCATCAATTCCGCTGACCACCAATACCTAACCCCCGCCATCAACCGCTACCTCCGCCTTATCAAGACGGAGCACCACCATCCCCTTGTCTCCCTTCGGTCAACATCTCCAACTCATCCACTCTACAAACTCTTATCGTGAATATAAGTGATCTCACCGCCCCTCTCCAACATGGGGTCAATGAATCCTACTCTCTCTCCATTTCTGAAGTAGGTGTCACCGCCTATTTGACAGCCACCACTGTATGGGGAGCAATGATGGGTCTAGAGACGTTTTCCCAGCTGGTGTGGGGTGATCCCTCAGCCGTCCCGGTGGGTTTGTATGTCTGGGATGCTCCCTTGTTTGCTCACAGGGGAGTATTGTTGGATACATCAAGGAATTATTATGGGGTGGAAGACATATTGAGGACCATAGAAGCAATGAGTGCTAACAAGCTTAATGTGTTCCATTGGCATATTACGGATTCACATTCTTTTCCTTTAATGGTGCCCTCGGAGCCTGAGCTTGCAGCCAAGGGATCTTATGGACCTGACATGATATACTTTCCCTCAGATGTGGCTAGGATTGTTCAGTTTGGCTTGGAACATGGGGTCAGGGTCCTGCCAGAAATCGATTCACCAGGTCAGTTTGTTATAACAGTAATTTTTTCCTCTAGCAAAGTATGACTTTGTGAATACACTCATGTTCATGTGCAATGAGTCTCATCTTATAGATGACTGTGATCAAAATGAATAAAGAAGGCGAAAATTTTGCCTTGTCTGTTAACTAAATTGGTTGCAAAAATTCTTGAATTTCCCCAGCAAACATGAAATATCAGGACCATTATATATATATATATATATATATATATATATATATGGAGTGAGGGTCCTACCTGAAATCGATTCACCAGGTCAGTTTGTTATAACAGTAATTTTTTCCTCTACAATACTTAATCATGTAGTAGTTGTGAACACAATCATGTTCATATGGAATGAGTCTCATCTTATGGATGATTGTGATTAAAATGACTAAAGAAGGCGAAAATTCTGCCTTGTCAGTTTACTAAATTGGTTGCAACAATTCTTGAATTTCCCTACCAAACATGAAACATCAGGATCGTTTAATAGGAAACTACGAGTCACAAATATTTGAGTTTTAGTATTCCTTTTAACCTGTATTGAGGTTTTTTTTTTCCATATATTAACTACGGAATCTTGAACCTCTTTCCATATCTCAACATAAAATCTCAGATCTTATCTGTCATGAAATTTCCTTGATGATTGGAGCTACGCATTTTGCCTATTCACACAAGCTTGAAAGAGCACTTTTATTAGCTCAATGATTAGTGCATTATCTCCTGTTCAAAGAGCAGGTTCAATTCCCCAGCCCCACCCCAACCCCCAAAAAATAAACCACTTTCCTAGATCCTAAATATGCTCCAACTTTGAAGTGGTCAAGCCGTAAAACCAGCTCCTAGTAATAATGAAAGGAAATGTATCAGTCATTCACTATGTAGCTTTGAATCTTACAAATTCAGTCCATTCGCCTAATCTCATTCTATCGGTCCCAATCCATTGTATATGTCATGATTCCTGATTATAAAAACATGAACATGGTCATGGTCCAACATTGACTAGATCAGGTATTGCATCTTTAGAGATAAGTCTGTGAGACCAACATGGAGAAAGTATTTATTTATGAAACCATGGTTTCATGTCAATATCATGCAAGCAAAAATAGTACTTAGTAAATAGTATTAAAAACTTTTTCATGCTTTTAAATATCAAGTGCCCGAAACTTGCATCTTTAACTAAGTAACTTCAATGCTATTTATCTAAATTTTTGTTGTATTTTAACATTGACTAAGTACAATGCTAAGAAACAGAGCAATTTGTTTTTTCCTAAGCCAAGTGCACACTGCACATTACATGAAATGAGCTGATCACAAAATTTTTACTTTGCAATTGCAGGCCATACAGGATCATGGGCAGAAGCCTACCCGGAAATTGTTGCCTGTGCTAACATGTTCTGGTGGCCAGCAGGAAGTCAACGGGCTGACAGGCTCGCATCTGAACCAGGAACTGGCCATTTAAACCCCTTAAACCCCAAAACCTACCAGGTTATCAAGAATGTAATTCGTGATGCAGCCACTCTATTCCCCGAGACATTTTACCATGGAGGAGCTGATGAGATAGTTCCTGGATGTTGGAAAGCTGATCCCACGATTCAGTCTTTCCTTTCCAATGGTGGAACCCTCAGCCAGGTCCTGGAAACCTTTATAAACTCTACTTTGCCTTACATTATATCCCTTAATCGTACCGTTGTCTATTGGGAGGATGTTTTATTAGATGACGAGGTTAAAGTAGACCCCTCATTTCTTCCAAGGGAGCATACCATTTTACAAACATGGATCAATGGCACAAACAATACCAAAAAGATCACTGAAGCTGGATACCGGGCAATTGTATCGTCTTCAGAGTTCTATTATTTGGATTGTGGCCATGGAGATTTTTTAGGGAATGATAGCCAATATGATCAGCAAACAGCAGGAGGTAACTCTGGAAATGGAGGGTCATGGTGTGGACCATTTAAAACTTGGCAAACAATTTATAACTATGACATAACTTATGGTTTGAGTGAAGATGAAGCCAAATTGGTGCTAGGTGGAGAGGTGGCATTGTGGTCAGAACAAGCTGATCCTACAGTTTTGGATTCAAGGATTTGGCCTAGAACTTCAGCAATGGCTGAGGCATTGTGGTCAGGAAACCGTAATGAGAGTGGGAAAAAGAGGTATGCCGAGGCAACTGATAGGTTGAATGAGTGGAGGTATAGAATGGTAAGTAGAGGGATCAAGGCTGAACCAATTCAACCACTGTGGTGTGTTAGGAATCCAGGAATGTGCAATATAGTCAATTCATTTTGATTTCATAGTTTTCAATTAATTGTTCTTGTTCAACACAGAATTGAGAAACAAGTTAAATGAAATTTGGTTCTCTAATTCACTTGCTCTATGCCTCTTACATTTACAACTTGTATTGATGTTTCAATTGATTAGCAAAAGAATGTGTCTTATATTATATTGCATAGCGTCTAAATTTCTTCTTGCTTCTAGCAATAAGTAGTTAACACATTGGAGAAAAACAAGCAATTGTTTCTGAGAAGAAATCATGCAAGAGTGTGAAACCCAAAGGCAGGAATTCTTTAGAGAAATTATGCAGGAGGAAGGCTAGATGATAGAAAGAGTTGCATGAGAAAATGCAATTGAAAGACAACGACTCATGAAATGGAAACACAATAAAATTGAGACCCACACCAATAAATGAAATTTAAAGTTGAAGGGAGGGGGAAATGCATTACATTGGCGATACAATACAAAAAAATATATGAATATAATACGATTTAAAATTTTAATAAAAATTATATATGTATTTGGTAAAAATAAAATATATATATATGTTTCATGCTTAAGATATCAACGCGAATCGTGACATTTTAATTTTTGTATTTAACATGATATGAAATAATTAAACAAAAATGCATGAATTACCGCTCCACCTTTTGACACACTATTCTGTGGGGTTTCAGCCGTTTGAATAGTTTTCCAGAATTCTTGGTGGAACAAAAACCCAATGTAGTCCAAAAATAAGTTTCTTGGATCCTTAGTTTAACTAGCCTAAAAGGCTAAAATCCAAACTTGGCCCATGAAAATTTGCTTATTCATTTTTCATTTTTTTTTTCAAATTAATTTCTTCTATCAGCTCGTCAGCAGCCTGATTCGATCAACAAAAACCAATCCTTTCAAAATTACAAAACCTAAATCCCGAAAATCTCAATTTCCCATTTTTAATTTTTAAACTTCTTTCATCCCCACTTTTTATGCAATTAACCAACTAAAAAGGAATGCAATCTCTTGAAAGTATTACAGATTCTCAATTCCCTCAAAACCCTAATAATTTTTCTTCTTCTTCTTCTTCATCTGTTAATGGGTTGCATGGGTGGCTCTTTGAATGCCATGGGCTTTGGCATAACTTAGCTCTCATTATTTCCTCTCTTATTTTTGTTCTTTTCTTGGGTTTTCAAGCCAAAAAAAGCTTCCAAAAGCTCTCTCATGGAAGGTCTTATATCATGATTTCTTATTATGGTTGCGTTTGGCTCGTTAGCTTGCTCAATCTTGCTTGGTGTTTTCTTCAGGTTTGTGGCTTTTTTTTTTTGTTCTCTAAATTGACTTTAAAGATTTGGGTTTCTCTTGAATTTGCTTATTGATGGTTTAAACTTGCTCTTTTTTAGATGAAATTGAATTGCTTTTGGTTGTTTCTGTGAATTTAATGATGGGCATTTGCTAAGGCTTTAATCTTCTGGTGGTTGCTTTTATTACTATAAAGCAAATAGCAATGGAAGTTGCTATAAAGGAAAATGGAATGGTAAACAGCATGGTAAAAATGAACGAATTACCAAAATATGACACTAATTGTAGCATAATTTGGTCTACTTTAGTGTAAAATCAATTATTTTGTATCTAAATGAGTGTAATTGTTTTTTAATTTTTAATTCTTCACAGATAGTGTTTACTATTTAGTTTATATCCAAATGCTTTTTCTTTTTTGCTTCTGTGGCAAATGCAACAACTGAATGGTTCCTAAATTGGTAGAACGTAACTTGTGTGTCTTTGGTTCACTAGAAAAAGCTGAAAGTTGTTCAGTGATCTTTTCATCTTATGGGATATTAGGAATAGGATTATTGGACAGTTGCCCAGATTCAGTTTTTAGGTGGGGTTTTTTTTATATGTATGAACAACTTTGAGAAGCTAATAATTGAATGAATAAGGATAATTGGATTGAAAATGTGTATGATAAAAGCCTTGTTTCTTGAGCTTACATGTCCGTTACATGGGTCTAAGGCTCTAAGCACTAAGCTCTCTATATGGCATGAGTTTGCAGCTAACTCTATTATTAGCATGAAGCCATGAATGGTATATGATATCCTGATTTTGCCTTTTTAATTCTGTATATTTCTGTTTTATAAGCATGAGTAAGATTTTTTTGGTTTTAATTTTTACATGTGCCTTGTATGTTGATGATTAGATTGTCTTGGGAGTACCTTAATGGAAAGCATGTTATTCTTAATCTGGCTTATTGTGTTAAGCAGCTGGGCAGCATATCATTTGATGGTTTGAACAAGTTGGGTACTGAATTATATGATTTGAAACAACTTATATCCACTTGGATTAATGAAATATTACATGCGTTTGAAGATCCTTATTCTAGTTGTGAGTAAGATAATTTTTTCTGCTTCCTAGCTGGATGGCTAGCTTTAAACTTTCTCTTGATTGATGCAGGCTTGGGAATGCACTCCTGGAAAGGAAATGGCATGGAATATCCTATCATTATTTACTACTTCTGGGATGTTGTTCCTGGAAGTTAGCTTGGTGGCCTTTTTGCTTCAAGGAAATTATGCCAGCGGGTTGGAAGCTTTGACACGAACATTTGTTGTTTCAGGGCTTATTGTTGGTTTGGACTTACTTCTGAAGGTATTTCTTTTATTCTTAAATGTTGCACCCTTCTTGGAAGTAGCACTATCTGTTGCTGACTTTGTCAAGACATGCATCTGATGGTGGTGGAAGAACATGACAGTTTCTTCCTTACTGCACTTTAATATTAATAGCAGAGTCTGCATTCCATGTGGCCTACTTTTAGTTGTAACATACTTTAACTTCTTCAGCAATCTAGATGTGAATTATGATTGTATATACATGTTTAGCTTCTTTTTATTTTCTAATATTTAAAGACATACAATATTATTCATATTTGTCTTTTTTACTACTGTGAATCCTTTTTGACATTTTTGAATCAATGGATTGTATCATATGATATTTAATATCTCAATGCACATTTTCCTTGTTTAGGCTGTTTACCTATTTGGATTTGGTGTCCCCTTGTTCATTGACAACATCGAGCATCCACATCAAGTGAAATGGGGCTTGTGGGTTGTTCACAGGCTAGTGCTGACTGCTATTTATGGCTCCATACTGTTTATGTACCGTTCCAAGTGGAGAGAAAGGTTACCTGGTATGTTCATCTAACTTACTTACATTTTTGCTAGTGATTTAACAGTAGTTGTACAGTTATGTTACCTGGAATCTTCTCTCTTCTTCTGCAGCAAGACCTGCATTCTACAAATATGTTGTTGTCATGTTCATCTTGAACGCACTTGCGCTATTTGCTTGTGGACTAACTGGAAATGGTGCTGGTTTTGGGTATTGGTAATACAAGTTTTATTCCTTTTAGTTGGAGAATTTTGTTTGCTATTTATATTAGTATATTGTGTTCTTTACCAAGGGCTTCTTTAAAAAGAACACAAAAAATAATTGACAGGTTGTACAGCGCCACAATTGTTTGCTACCATGCCTTTTACCTTCCTCTTCTGTATGTAACTTTTCTGGCAGATTTTTTCCAGGTAATCATATATCTGCATCCATTATGATCTTCTCCTCCCCTTACGTAATCTTGTAGTCTTTATTTCGGATTCATAGTAAAAGTTTCATCTTGTTAATTGGTTCTTTAGCAAAGCCTTATAATATAATTAAATATCTTTAATCTGTGCAGGAGGAAGACTTGCATCTAGAGAATGTGTACTACTCGGAGATGAAAGACGCCGGTTTCTTTGACGGTGACTGGGAGTAAGCACTGTATCAACTTTTGGATTACAAGATTCTGTTGTCAGTAGGCTCTGTAAATGAAATCAAATGGAACTATGTCCGATTGAAGGGATGTTTGATCAATTTCTGCACGTAGCATGTACGATTACTGCTTTGGAAACAAAGTCAATGATCCAGAATGTACCTTAAGGTTCTTGATACCTCACTTGATTAGTTAGTTCTTGCTTTTTTGTTTATCATGTATGATAAAGTAGCTACATGGTTTGAGCTCAGATGGTTGAGAGTTTGAGTTTGAGTTTGGTCTTGTAATGCTATGCTATTTTTCATATTATATGTGAAGTGCAAATAAGAACAGTTTGTTCAATCTTGTAGCTAAAAAATATAAATAAATAAAAGCCCTTGATCTAATTTCAATAAGATTCAACCCAAAGTCATTTCTGCCCTTGATCTAATATTTAAGTCCTCTTAGCTGGGTGTTGAGCTCTTGGTATAGCTTAACCTTTTTCAAGGACACCTCAGCTCCATAAGTCACTACAGATGTAAAAACATTGCACGATCAGTTAAAATAGTATGCCCTTGACTTACGAACAACCTAACTGAAAATCCCCATAATTTATAAGTTTTCTAAGATTGATCAAATAAATAAACTAGAGTTCACAACATGATTGGCAAATGCTCAAGAGATTGCAGGCTAGTAAGGGACATCAATTAAGGGCAGATGAACCTCCAACTTAGATCCTTGTTTCTAGGCACCTTTCTCGCTGCAGAGCTTCTCAACGAGATTTGCAGCATCCTGAACAGTTGCAATGGTTTGGGCATTCTCCTCTTCCACAGTGATTCCAAATTCTTCCTCAATCCCCATCACAATCTCAACCTGAAACAGCATTCTACCAATTACAACACGAACACCAAGCAACAATCTTCAAGTACAAAACAACTCAATGACAGAGCGTACAACGAAGAATGGGATAAAATGGAGTTGGGAATGAACTAACAAAAACCATGTTTATTCTATTGGTCACCATGCACCAAGGAAACCAAAAAGGAGGGGAGAGAGGACTTCATACTGTGGGAAGAACCAATTGGACAATTTTATTATAGTTGCCAAAATATAAAAGGTCAGGAAATTTTTTTTGTTTGCCATACTCATCTCCTTAAGCCAGAAATGCCCTGTGATGTGTCCTACATATATTCCCTCTGCTAAACTTGGCCTTCTAAGGAAGAAGCATGACTTTAAGGCACATTATAGAGTGGACATGCTGCTTTAGAATCAATCAGAACAAAACCAAAGAGTTGTCAGCAAAGCTAAGATAGAAGATTGGAAATGACTTAACATGGACAGCAAATAAAACTGCTGCCCATCCTGATAAATTGGTTAGAGAAAGACCGATAATCCAACGAATACATATATAGACCTATGCATCTAAAACAAACAGGTGGACAAAAATTCTTCAGACTTAAACAAATACATGCTCTCCTTGATCTTGCACCCTACTTTTACCCAAATATGAAGAAAAGGAAGAAAAGAAAAAAAAAGAAAAAAAGGGCAAACTTCAGATGGTTATACATAGTTGAGAGAGTACCGTATCAAGAGAATCAGCTCCAAGTTCAGAAAACTTTGATTCACCAGTGACTGGATTGTCTTTTGATATAGCTAGTTGTTTCCTTACTATTTCACATACCTTATCCACGGTCTCTGGTTTGGCCTGCCCAATGACATTTAACTCAGACATCAACGTTATGTTATTCACCAAAAGTATAACTGTCATTTCTACATAAATGCCTAGATCATAACTTAGCATAGTTACAACAAACCCTGCATATGATGCACATGAAATATTTTTTTTAAAAAATGAGGAGAGATCAATGTATATGCAGATACAATGGACCTCATGCAAAGTGCCTGCAAGGTAGGGATAAAAACAAACATGATAATAGACAAACAGGTACTAAAAGCAATTGATTTACAGACCATTCCCCACGCCCCTTAGAGTTGACAACCTAATAGCATAAACTGAGAAAACAAACAGTTAAACCATATTTTCCAACAATCCTATAAGAGAGAAATAGTCAAAGGAGAGAGTCCACAGGTGGATTAATATCTTTGCCACATTTCTATTCAATTGACTATTCAAAGTTAATTTCCTTGTTATTGGCGGTCAAATGAACACATGAAAAATATGTAATCTCATTGTGCAGTCTTTGCCCCAAGCAATTGGTAATAACTCATAGTATAGAAACTAATATCATTTCAATCATTGAGAAACATACAGCACATGAAATCCGCAGGCGAGCAGGCATTGGATGCAACCTAAATGAGAGGCTGCTTCTTCCCTGGTTCATGAATGGAACCAATTTCAACCCAGAAACCCTGGTGGTAGCCTGTTAAAAGATGTTCAACAACACAGAAATCAATCAATGATTCAAATAAACAGAATAGCAATAGGAGAAACAACTATCTTCTAGGATATCTCAAAACTCTATACAAGCAAAATAGAAACTTTACTTTTGCATTTCCATCATAGCCTATTTTACTACATTTACAAACAAAATTCACAAGAAAAACCAAAAACACGCCATTAATTTGCATAAGTAGTCTAAACATCAATAATTTATCTACAATGACATTTGACAATATGTGATTCCCTTGGTCCCAAAAGTCCCATCTTTACCCGTAAATTATTTCATTCATATCTGCTAATCTACATCAAATATCAATACAATTCCATAAAAAATCATGCTTAGCAAAAACTAGGACAACAGACCTTCTAGAACTAAAAACCAACAATACCCATAAAATCTATAGTTTTCCTCTCTACAACAGCTCATCGGGATGCAAACATAAACAATACTCCTTCTGGCTTTTGCGTTTTGCTCTCAGATTACCCAGATCAAATCAGCCATGAAAGACCTTGAACTAACAAAATTAACACAAAAGCCTCATTTCGAACACTAAAAAATAACATTTGATTAAAAACTACAAACAAAAAAGTAAAATCTTAGCAAGACCAACTAAGAGAACAAACCGATCGGTGAAAAAGAAAGCAACAAACGAAAAATAAAAGCAATAATTGAAATGCAACTATAAAGATTTGAATAAGGAAAAGATTGAAGAGAAGAAATACCAGGGTGTGGCGAGGTTGCATGGAGATTGATGAACCGGCAATGGAAGCCATTTGGGAATGTTGTTGAAGAGGAAAACAAAGAGATTATAAGCAGTCAAATATGGCGGAGAGCCCGATGCGAGTGTAGGGAATATGGGTAGGTAAGGGCTTAGGGGGATATTTATAGCTGTATGTTTTGCGATATTGGCAAGGATTTTGTATTTCTGAATCCAAGGTAGGGTTTCTTTTTTTATTTTTTTTAATTGGGTAAGTTTGCTAGTTTGTGCTTTTTGATACTGACTCGGATGGAATTGTGCAACGGAAATGAAATGATACGAAAAAAAAGTTTTTTTGGTATGATTTAAAATTTTAATATAAATTTAATAAAATTAAAATCATATATTTTATATTTTGATATTAATATAAATTATAACAATTAATTTTTTATAAAGTATAATACAAATATAAAATTATTAATATTTTACATAATATAAAAGGAGAATTTTATTTATATCCTATTAATACTATATTCCGTTCATTTCTAAATACATTTTAAATTTAAAATTGAATTTTTCATTTTAACTAAATACATCACACCTTTTACTTTTTATTTTTCATTGTTATCTTTTTTTTCTTATTTTTTTTATTTTTTAAAATCGAGTTTTTCGAAAATAAATATTCAAAAAACTTTAAAATTTCTCAAAAATAAATATTCAATAAATTTTAAAAATTTTTGGATATTCGTTTTATCTTGGATATCTATTTTTTATAAGTTTCAAAATTTCTCAAATATTTATTTTCAAAGGGACTCAAATTTTTTTTATATCTATTTTCAAAAAACTTGAGTCTTTTCGAAAATAAATATTCAATAAAATTTTAGGTTTTTCTGATTTCTATTTCTAAAAAACTCAATTTCATTTTTAATCATTGAAAAATTTTAATCATATGCTTATGAATCTATTTACTTAATCATATGTATAAATGAAACTAAAATTAATGTTCTTAACATTTATGGCATAAATTTGTTTTTTCTCTTGTACCTCCAAAAAATTGAGAACATTATTTTTTTTTTATTTTGCATGAGCAAAATGGAGTTTTTGGTTTTCTAGACCTAAGATAAAAATATTTTTATGTCCATGCATACTTGAAACTTAACATATTTTTTTCATTTGCATATATAATTAAGTAATAATGGGCATGTTAATTACTCATATATATATATATATATATATATACATGTATATTAGTTTGAGCTTGAACACTCTATAAAACATTGACATTAATAAAATCATCAACAGACTTACAAATATGATAATATTTAATATTTTAATCATCAATTTTTACTATTAAATTTATCAATTTATTAATGACATTTTTTAATGATCCTAAAATTAAAGATTTTAATTTTTTTATTATAAAAAATTTATAATTAAATATATATATTTAAAAAAAATTATATAAATTTTTTTAAAAAAATTTTCAAAAATACATGAATTTTCGTGAATAGTGCTGACTCTCGAAAATCCATTTTGCATAATTCAAAAAAATTCTCAGATATAGATTTTCCGTTTGGTCTTAAAAATTCCTTGCTCCTCCACTCTTAAAAGTTCCTAAATCAGTTTACATCAATTTGGCCTACCTTTCAACGTCAATCCTAACTATCAAATTTATTAATCTATTGATGACATGTTTTAATGACCCAAATGTTAAATATTCTAATTTTTTTATTGTTAAAAGTTTATAATTAAATATATATATTTAAAAAAAATTATATATTCTCAAAAAAAAAAATTTAAAAATACACGAATTTTAAAAAACGATTCTTGAAAATCTATTTTGCATAATTCGAAAAAATTCTCAGATATAGATTTTCTGTTTGATCTTAAAAATTCCTCGCTCCTCCATTCTTAAAAATTTCTAAATCAGTTTACATCTGTTTGATTTACCTTTCACCCTCCTGATCCCAGACCCAGATCACCAGCACTTACTCCTTACTCCTCCACCACTACCTCTACACGTACAGTTCTATGGTTATATGATTCACAACATAGATGCATTTAGGTCATCGATTATCATGCTGAGCAGGGCTATTTTCGAACCCTCAGACAAAGGTGACATGGAATTCAATGGCCGTGAAAAGGCATGGGATGGGGACAGAGGGTTTAAGAGGGATTAGGGTGAAGAACCTCCTCACCAGAGATGTTTTCGATTCTGAAGTTTCTGGTTTGTTTTTTGTCGTTACGAATGAACCTGCCACCAAGTTCTTGTATCAATAAAAATGATTTTGTCCCATCTGTTGATAAGATTGGGCTGGGGCCTAATTAGCGCAAAAGATAATGGAATTGCCTTCAAATTCTTCTTTTTATTACTAATTTTATCAGAAAGAGTTCTCGTTTTTTTTTTTCTTTTTTCATAATTAAGGCATAAATATTTAAATTTAAAATTTAAACTTGTTGAATAATATTTGAAATGATAATTATAAAAAAAAAACCACAGAAAGAGACATTATATATAGTAAGAATTATTATCCCATATATGAATCTTTTAATTTTTTAATTTCCTAAACAAATTTATAATATTAATTAATAACGTTTTATAATTCTTATAAATAAGATTAGATGACCAAGAATGATATGATTTTATAATTCACATGCAAATTTAATTATGAAAAATGAGGAAAATTTTTTCACTCATGCTCATGTATAAAAATTATATCGTCCAATCCAAACTTTGGTTTTTTAAGTCAATTTTCACGACAAAATCATGCAACCTTTTTACCAATAATCACGTTACTTATGTCATTTTATGTTTTCTTGTCTTTGATTTCACCTTGTTTCATATGTTGAAAGACTTTAACCAAAGTAGAAGTCTTTGCCAAATGTTTAAGTGATAAAGCTTTTTCTTTAAAAAAATGTTAGTTTGACGGATTTTATTTCGAATCTAGATCTTTAAGCCCAATTACAAAGAAGCTTCCAATAGTGGTCAACCCTAAGTTTTACTTTATTTCTATTTTTTTAATCGATAAAAATTAATATTTATTTTTATTTAAAATAAAAAATTCAAATAAAAAATATATCAATTATCGAATCAAATATTCACATTAAAAATATCATATCAAAATTTTATGCATCAATATTTTTATAACAAAGTCTCAATCCACCTGTTCTTAGTCATACACACACATAAAAATGTTGGAATTGTGCATGAATGATGAACACTTATTAATAATAATAATAATAATAAAATTTATTTTTGATGGTTTATATTTTTGAAGCCTTCCCCGGGCAAGTTTCATTGTCAATATTAAATGTGATGATATAAAGTATGAGCCATGCATGTTGCCAAACCATTCAAATGGTGGTCCACAAATAAATGGCAGTTGAATATGGAAGATTGAGAAGTGGTTTTCACGTACACATCGATCTCACTCCTTTGTTTCTTCATGGTTGCTGTCAAGTTCCCGCCTCCCCCCAACTAACTGGTTGGTTTTATTTCATTTTCATGCTTCCAATAATCAAGAGCCTCAATCTTCCTTTGCCGACCAAAGTTTCATCATTGAATCATAATTCACTGTTTTCAGCTTAAAATTACGATGATGACCCATATTTTATGTAAAAATTAAGCATCAAGCGTGCTTGAATTTCTACTTTTAAAAAAATTACATTTTTTTTTAATTATGACTAAAATTTGAGATGGAGACTTTTAATTTTGTCATTTTTAATCCTTAAAGCATCACGGATATGTAAATTTCTAATTCGCAAAAATATATACTTTTTTGTTATGAAAGTTTGAATTCGAAATTTTAAATTTTAAAATCAAATTTAATGTTATTATAATAACAACTTATTAATTAAAAATTTATTATTTAATACATTGATGATTCATCTTTTCAATTTCTAAGCTAATTTAAAAGATTAATACAAGTTAGTTTTGAATATATTCTTTAAAAATAATCAACTTCTTCATCTTTAATTTTAATAATTAAAATTTGATATCGAACAATTTGAAATTAAAATCATAACAATCGATCAAGGTTAACACTTCGTAATATGACATTTTCATGGGTGATTTTATAATTTTTATTGTATCAATTTTATTCCTCATTGGATTGCAACTTTTTCCATGAAAAGATGAAAGCACCATATTGTTATGTACTTTATTGTAATGGGACCTAATTAAAGGCACCACAATCCTAAACAAATGTACAACTTGAAACTATTTTGATCAAAATTTGACTTGATTTGTTGTAACATATTCTTTTGAAAAGTTAAATTTTTTAATAGAAAAAAAAATGAAAGCTGGGAAAAGGAACATTTTCATAATGCATTATTTTTTTGTCTCAATCATATTCCACTATGTTCACCTTTGGGGTACTTCGGCTTTTTGGCGACCTTTTGGTTATAGAATCTCCCCTTTATTGGATACGAAGGGTAGCTAGCTCATGCATCACCAAATATATATAATAATAATAATAAATTCCAATGATGATAATAATAATATACGTGTGTATCTCAGTAAAAAAGGGTAAAAGAATCTATTTATTAATTATTATTTTTTATCAATAAGTAATTTATTTAATTAGTTAGGTTTATCTTCATCGATGAAAAATTTTGAATTTAAATTTTATCGGTGATCATTTATTGAAATTATTTCGAATGCATGATCTGTAATCATCTGTTTTAGATTGTAAAGTATGATACATCTTATTTTGATCTGAGAAACTTATTTTGATCTAAGAAACTGAACAATCTATCTATACTTAAATTTTTTTACCAAAAAAATTATTTTTTTTCTTCACGGACAAATACTTCCAATAAATATTTGTGAAAAACACAAACTTCTATAATTGTTTAATTAAAAAATTTATTTAATTGAGACACATGGGGGAAAATAATTTCAAAAGGAATTTTTTTTAGTTATGTTATTGAATCACATATTTTATAAATTAATGATTAAAGGAAAAATGCGGGTAATTTTTTTTTATTTTAATATATCCTTAAACCCCAATTCTTATTTATTTAATTAATATGAAGAAAATATTATATACTTAAATCTTTTTTAATTTTTAATTTTTAATTTCTGTCAGACATTTAAAAAAATGTTATAATTTTTTGGCCGTTTTATTTATAATTGATTTCTATAAAACTTGACGTTGGCAAGCGTTGAACAATTTTTAATTTTTTTCAATGAATAATTACATAAATATAATTAATTATTTACTTTTTAAAACATAAAAAAGGAGTATTTAGAAAGTAAATATAATAATTAATTAAACAAAGTAAATAGTCGAAATCATGTATTTATCCTCACAAGTGAAGACAACGGCAATTGCTGCTTCGAATTACCCTTTTCTGAGGAAGAAAAATTGGTCAGTATTTAATTTTGTATTAAATATAGTGGGTCACACAACTTGTTTGACCAAATTAAACAACTTACCCATCAGGTCATTGAGTTTTAAACCATTTGTTTAACTTTCAAGTATGAAAAAGGTTAAAAATTAAAAAAGATTTTGAATGATTTAATTTTATTTAAATAAAATTTTATATTTTTATTGTATTTAAATAAAGTTTTATCTTTTTATTTATATTTACATATATCCTTATTTCAAATAAAAAGTTGATTTATAGAAAAAAAATTTTTAGGTAAAAATTATAATTAAAAACTTATTTAAATATAAATTAAAAAGTAAGGATTTATTTAAATGTGAATTTAAAATTAAAGATTTGAATCTTAATAAAAATATAAAATTTATTTAAATAAAATGATAAAGTTTAGAAACTTTTTTATTATTTTAACCTATGAAAAACATTCAATCTTAATTAATTAATACTAATATTATTCACAGGGCAATTGTCATTTTTTTTTTACAAAAGACATAAAATCTTAAAAAAAAAAAAAAGAGAATTTGCAAATACTGCCTAAGAATTATCTCTTAGGAGAAGTGAATTAAATTTTATAAAATTAATTTATTTGATTAAATAATAAATAAATAAATAAGCAAACTGCAAAAGCTTTCTAGTGAATTAAAAAAAAAAAAGTAACCAAAAAAAATTAACAAATTCCATTATCAATGATACAATCATAATCTAATTTATTACTACTAATTTTTATCAAATTATAAAGTAGTAAAATCAATATCATCAATCACATAATCCATGCAGTTCAGCTAACTTTTTAATATTTATCTCTTTTTTATTTAATTTTCTACTCCACTAAAAAGCATTAGAAACTAATTTAGAATTTAAATATTAATTGGAATTGTGACCAAATAATTATCGGGCTCAAAAACCATGTGATTAAAGATTGGAAGTCATGTTAAATCCCAATCATGGTATTTTCTTTTATTTAAGAATATTTTATTCGGTATAATCAGCATTATATAGAAATAATTAAATTTAATGAAATTTTGAGACCCCTTTTGCTCCTTCCAATTAAAAATGATGTAATTAGAAAAATTTTTTATTTATTTATTTTCTTCTCTCTATTTGTTTCTTCATTCATTTTAGAAATTGATTAAAATTGACTTACATTGCTTGCTATAGGTAAAAAAAAAAAAAAGCCATAGTTTTTTCTTAATAAAAATAAAAATAATTAAATACGAAATTTAATATAATAATTTATGTAATTATTTTTAAATGTAACATTTAACAAATTTAAAACACAAATTCTAATACTTCAATCTATTTTTTATTTCAAAATTAAAACTTCCTTTATAAAAAATCATAAATGAAAACTAATTTTTAACATTACCAAATATCAAACGCTAATTTAACATGATTAAATAATATGGCCAAAACATAGATAATTAAATGACGTGGATGCAGTAAATCTTCCCAAAATAAGTAAGTTCTTTATGTTAGTACAACAATTAAGAATTCAGAATAGAAGACAATGCCAACCATATCCAAATCCCAAAAATTTAACCATAGTTAAATATTTATCTAATTAACAATTTATTCAAACAATAAAAATCTAAACCAAAATTTCTTTATTATAATTTTATATAATTTTAAAAATTTAGCATAATATAATAAGAGTTAATGAAAATAAAAATTTCAAATATGATAATTAAGTTATTAATTATTAATTATTAATTAATATGATATTAAAATTTTTAGTTAATTATATTTAAAATAAATATTATATTAATTAATATAATAATATTTTAAATATTATATTAAAAAAAAATTTTAAATTTAAATATTAAATTTAATATTTTATAAAAAATTTCAGAGCATTTGACCAAAAAATAAATTTGGAAAAATGACAGGAAAATGAAAAGCACGAAGAAAAGCAAAACGGAGTGAAGGAAACGGCGGGTACAGATGCTCCTGTATTTTGCTTTGCTTTTTCTTTCTTAAAAAACTTGCAATCTTTCTATGCTTGTCTTTCACTTCCCTTCTTCACAGTCTTTTCTTTTTGACTCCCCATTTCACCACTTCCGCCACCAAATCCCCCAAACAACTTTCTCTCTCTCCAAACTAATTTCTGGGACTCGCTTCGTTGATTTGTTGATTTATTTATTTTTTAAGTTCCACCAAACTCTTTATTTTCTCGCTATATATTCTCTCTCAGTTTCTCTCTCTTTCCTCTCTCTTTCTCTCTCGCCAGAGATTCTTTCGTTAATACAGGTAAGCTTTCGCTCCACTGATTTTTAAACACGTTGTCGTTTTTCTGTTTCTTTTTTTTTCTTTTTCGTGCTGAATTTCATGTACTGTGGAAACTAGAGAGCTGGAAATCGGTGTCGTTTTGACTGGTTCTTTCTTGAGTTTTGATCTCCGGATCGAATTCAAAGACGACGATACGATGTCAGTGCCGTAACGTTATTGCTGTTTCTCTTGAGTTGAAACTCGAGTCAGTACCGAGTTCGTTTGGGCCTCAAAATTTTCACGGCTTAATTTTGAGATCAAAATGGCGGAGTTTTGGGTTGTTTTCAATCAAAAGGGAATCGATCCGAGTTGAAACCGAGTCATTATTTTGCTTTCAAAATTTTAAACCTCTTCTACTTTTTCTACTTTGATTTCAATATACCTTCACCTCAGTTTTAACGAACTCGAATCATCGCTTATTTGTAGTTTTGACTTCAGCCAGAGTTGCTTCGAGTCTGATCTGAGTCAAACCACGCCACAACTCGATTTGGTTTCAACTTCACTTTCTTTTTTTTCTTTTCCATGTATTAATCAGTGTTTTTTTAATATTGAATTCTAATTCGGATATTTTGAAAAATGAAAAAAGAAATTAGCTAATCAATATTTGGATAATATTGCTGAGTAGTTTGATTATTATATATATGCAGATCAAGGTTTGGATGCTAAGTGAAGAAGGGAAATGGATAAGCAACTTTTGGAGATTGAGCCAAAGGAACTTAGATTCGTATGTGAGTGCATAATTACTTGATTGCCCCTTTCGCTTTTATTGCATAAAGATTCTTATAATAGTTTCCTTTTTGGCAAAAAAATATTATAATAATTCGATAAAGTAACTTTTCAATTTTTTTCTATTATTGGAATTTTTTTTTGAATTTTTAGAATAATTTCTTTGTTTTGTCACTAAATACGCGGGGAAACAAGAAGGATTTGTTTAAATTTGGTTGTAGATATGGTAATCTGTGTATCCGTACAATGTTATTTATGTTCAATATACATAAAATATAAAAATTATCTATCATAATATTTGATAATAAACTAAAAACAAAATAAATTTTTTGATTTTTGATAAATTTATATATAATTTTTGTTAAAATTTTAAATTATATTATTTTTTATTTTTTTTGTCGTGCTGTTCAAAATTAACTGTCGTTTTTAATTAGCCGTTTCTTTTTTTTTATCCTTTTTTTTATAATAATTTTCTTAAAAATAAAATACAACTTTAGACCCAGTGGATCCGACTCTTTCCCGGATCCCACGTATGGTGGGAGCTTTATTCACAGGGCAGTCTTTTTCTAAAAATGAAATACAACTAAAAAGAGTAAAGAATAAGGATTTTTTGTGGATATATTGGTAAAGAATCGAAGGGGTTGATTAATTCTGCTAATAACATATTATTTAAATAGCTCTATTATTTATTTATTTCTCATTTAAATTTATTTTTTGTATTGGTAGTTGTGTTGAAGAAGCAATGCTCCTGCTCGATTACACTTACAAATAAAACTAACCAATATGTTGCTTTCAAGGTCTGAACTCTGAACCAGCATTCTATGCTTTTTCCTTTTTATTTAATTTATGTCCATGGTTTTTGAAATTTTAAGGTTTATATCATGAGGTTGAATGTTAGAATGCTGGATTCCAATGTAATTGGAGCAGTGATATTTTGCAGGTTAAAACTACATCTCCTAAGAAATACTGCGTGCTGCCTAATATTGGTATTATTATGCCAAAATCAGTATGTGATTTTAAAGGTAAGGTGTTTTTGTATATAAATGTTTGAGGATTGTATATTTCTATGTGCATGAATATAACAAATGAATTTCAAAGCTTAAGTGGTCTTTAATCTTAATGGCTCATGAGTAAATGAAGATAGTGTTATCATTAGAAGTATATAAGAGGTCACCTGGCTGATGGACCCTAGACATTTCAAGCATTTTGCCATCTGGGAAAGCGAAAGAGTTGGGATAAGGGTAAATTTTCCACCCTTTAAGGTCCTTTAAATGTAGAGCCTGCTCCTTGAAATTGCTGGTTTCTATTGCATCTGATAGTTCATGATTAGTTTCCTGGGAGTGCAAATCTATTGAGGAAACAAAAATTCTTTACTTGACAATTGAGAATATTGACCTTTAGGACAATTTGCCATGGTGCTGCCTCATTAGCTGGAAAAGTGAATCAAAGCTAGTGATGCAACTTAGAAATAAAATATAGTACTGAATTTTTCATATGATGTTCTTTATCATTTTCTTAACCGCCTCCAGCTATACCATATATTCTCACTCTTGATTTTTTTTCATTTAGTTACCATGCAAGCTCAGCGTGAAGCTCCTCCTGATATGATATGTAAAGATAAGTTCTTAATTCAAAGCACAGTTGTACCGGCAGGGACAAGTGATAAAGACATTACATCTGCCACAGTAAGTGATTTTCTGCTCTGCTTGTGCTTTATTTGATAATAGTAAGTGAATTTCGCTCATTCTTTTGCTTGGCAGTTTGTCAAGGACAGTGGAAGATATATTGAAGAGAACAAGCTTAAGGTTGCCCTTGTCAGCCCTCCTCATTCGCCAGTATTATCACCAATTAATGGCCCGATGAATCAGGGAATAGACTATGATGCTTCAATACCAAAAGAGCCAATACTAAGTACACTTGGGATTCTTGCACCACTGCAGAGGGTTAGATCTACTTATTTTGTCTATCTTTTAACCCTTAAAATAAAGTTATTTATAGTTCTACATCCATACATGTGTATATACTCAAATGTGTGTGTATGTGTGATTGCATTATCTTTTACAGGAAATATATATATTTTTAATCTGAAAGTAAACTTGATGCAATTTTTGTTTGAGTATGAGATTTAAACACAAACTTCAAATCAAGGAAGGATATTGTACCTAATACCTTCTAGAAATTATCGACGTACTCTTCTCTCTGCCAGTTTGCTGAGGCTGAGGAGTCAAAGATGATAAATTTTGAGGATAAGCCAACAAAGAATGTGGAGTGGAAGCCAAGGAAGGATACATTATATGCGGAGGATTTAAAGCCAAAGAAGGATGCAGAGCTGAAGCCTAAGAATGATGTTAATGGTGAGGACTTAAAATTAACAAAAGATTCAGAGCTGAAGCCAAAGAATAGTTTTGTCAATAGCAAGGAGTTAAAGCCAGTGAAAGATGTGGAATCAAAGCCAATGGAGGATATAATTGATACTGAGGAATTAAAGACAGTGAAGGAAAAGGAGTTCAATGCATTGAATGATGGCGAGGTGAAAACATTGCAGACTGTGAAGGAGCTGAAGTTTGCCAAAGACTTGGAGGAAATGAAATCAAAACTAAATGACCTTGAATCTAAGCTAGGAAAGGTAAGTTTGTTTACAAGACAAAGAATGATGCTTGATGTTGACAGTTTAGGATAAGGTTGAACTATATTTTGCCATCATTAATTTGCATCTCTTGTCTCGCCACCTTATAAAGTTTCAGTAACACTAGTGGTCAACTGGTCATATCCATTTCAGGCTGAAGCTACCATTTCAAAACTGACAGAGGAGAGGAGGTTAAGCACTCAAGAGAGGAAGATCCTACAAGAGGAACTTGTAAGTTTTCTGTCTGTGCGTTCTTCTTCTCGTAGATTCTTGTTATATGTTAAATATCACGAGGTCCATCATGGACAGTCAATTCTCCTAACCACTTCTTTAGTGGGGGTTGTGATGCCACTTTTACGGGCAATTTTTTAGGCTTTTAGCTTTCGAACTGTTAATTATGAATGATCATCATGTGTATGCCCTCTGAATGCCTTCTCTTTCTCACTTTCTTAGAATAGGCCAGTGATTATTTTTTACCATGTGACCTTTCCTTCTGTCTTTTAGGTCTGCTATAAACCCTTTCCAGCACAGTTCTCCTGATTTCTATTCAGGGTGGGATAATGGCCTTCTCATTAGGAGATGCTTAGAATTGGAGAGATAAAGAAGTGTGTGGGAGAGGTGGAGGGCGAATTTCGGTTCTACTTAGTACCCTTCTTTTTCTAATCATATAGGAAAAGAAGTTAAAACTAGGAGTATAAACGAACAGAACGTTATGCGAATAGTTTGTAAACAGACTTGTTTTTTTCCCTTTATTAAACTTAACAAATAATTATAAATAATATTTCAAGATCCGTTAATTGAATGAACAAATCACAAATATATCAAAGTTCATTCATGTTTGATTAAACAAATCGAGCATTTAACGAACAGTTTGTGAATACGCTTGATTCTGTTTGTTTATTAAGCTTAATAAACTATCACAAACAAATAGATGACGAACATAATAAACTTCATTCATGTTCGGTTTATTTACACTCTTAGATAAAAACTCCATATCATAGAATTCTGAACCAGTCACCTGAAACCTGTTTGCTTTAAAGTTATAAACTTAGACCGAAAGGCAGTTTTATAAGATTGCAGCAAAAACATTGTATATTTCAGTTCGTGCGGAAACCCTTTAAATTATTGACAGTAAACTCTATATTTATGCAGGCGATATTGAAGAAAAAGACTAATCTAAGAAGAGTTGAAGTGGGATTTCCTCTCCTATTTGTTTGTATGGTAGCACTCGTCAGTGTCTATCTCGGATACCATCTGTGCCATTGACCTGCAACAGTCATACAGGGTTTGTTGATAGTTAAGAAATCTATAGTATAAATACTTTCCTGCTCATAGCCAGTAAAGGTTTGTGTTTACTTGTTTGGCCAAAAGGAAATGAAAAGAACATGAGGTTAACCCTTAGATTAGTGGGAACTGTTTTTTGTTGATAATTATCATCTTGAATTGAAATTCTTATGAAACTTTTCCAAGGAAATTCTGCTTTGACTCGGAGTCATTTTCGTAGAGGATCAAATTGGGTGTGGAATTCATGGATGTAAGTTTTTGATTTGCTACTACATCCAATCTTTGCGAAGAGAAACTTCGCAAAAGATTACCTCAAGTAAAACGTAATGAATATGATAATATATTAAAAATAATTTAATGTGATAAAAAATTTATTAAAGCGATATGATTTAAATTTTTAGTAAAATAAAAAATAATATGATAACTTTTATATTTTTTATGTATTTGATACGAAATAAAAATTATATAAATATGTGTGTTGATATGAGATAAACACGATATCAATAGATAAACATATAAAAAATAAGTACAATACAAACATAAATTTTTAACAAATATATAAATTGTCAAGTCTATTAGTGTTCGTACCAAAGAGAGTTTTCTTTTGTCAAAAATGATCTTTCTCAATGTGGGAGAATTCATATGCATTTGCAAAATAAACGTGCAAACCTACAAAAAGCTGTTGCAAATCTTAAATTTTACATTTTCAACTCTCAAATGTCAAAAAAAGAGTACATTATGATGTCAACATATATGCGGAAGTATAAACAAGAACCTTTTAAGGAAACTTAAAATGTACCAAAAGTAACCTATACATGATACATACATACCAGAGGTAATTACAGAACATACTCTGCTGGCTCCTTGCTGGCCTGCCAGACAGTTAAAAATTCTACAAAATTTTCAACCGATGTTCATGTTTTCGTTACCAACTCCGATCCAGAGTACTTATAAATTTTTGTGCATCTTGTTCAGCCACCTCATTGCCATTGAGGTTGAGGATGTCCACTCCTTTCTGTTGGGAAGCCAGGAACAAAAGGCACAAAACCACGGCCACCAAACATTGGACGCATGATGGCATTATCAAACTTACGCCAGTAGTGATGAACAGTGTGCGTTGGAGTTGTAAGAAGTGTGCGAAAGCTGGCCGGTCGATGAATTCCAGCTGGACTATCATCAAAGGAGTCCTGCCGACTTCCAAGAAATGGAACCGTGATCGATTTTGGAGTGGATGGGTCTGAAAGCATGCTAGTTGTTGCTTTGGGATGAGGCAGCAAGAACCTTATTAGAGGTTTAGTCATTATACCGAAAACCTGTGCAGAACCAACAGATAAAGAGTTTGTAACACCTCCAAGAAACTCCTACGCTCAAGACAGAAAAAAAAAAAGTTGCAAAGAGATGCAAAAATAGGGTTTTGTGCAGTTGATTCTATGGTGTAAATACACACTTCAGCAACGTAAAACTTGAATTGTCAGTTAAGATGACATCAATTTAGGGCTAATTAAGCTGTTGGAAAAACTGGGTTGGAAAAAATGCATTTAAAAATTGTAGTTAGAAATTTTAAACGTATGGTATTGCCGTAAAAAATATTGTGAGTAATTGAAAAGTCTAAAAAATATATATAAAATAATAAAATATTAAAAAATTATAGAGATAATACAGTAATTTTTTTTATCCCAACCATAATTTTTTACCGCAAAAGCACTTTTTGAGGAACTTTTTGGCTTAGGTTTGCAAATCAAAATTTTAAACTGAAAAATCATATTATTTTTATTATTTAGCATTGAGGTTGAATCAAAAGTAGCTTTTAAACACAATGGCTTCAACAGTAATTCTATACTAGGCCTTATTGAAAGCTAGGTTCTACCTTTGATCTTAACCAAAGAGCCAAGAATGATAAAAGATGTTCGCCCAAGTAAGAACTCAACCTTTTTTATGCAATTCAAAACTTTTACAAATTAACAGATTATGTGATAAAGCTCAAATAACCAAACATATTTGAGCTATTAATTTTAAAGCAAAACCTTCAACATTTTCAAAACATAAAATGCCATGCCTTTTTGGGAGAAAGCATCCAATCTCTAAGCAGTTAAAATGAAGGCAGGAGACATCTTACCACAGTGCTGAAAAGAACAACAGTGATAGTGCTTGTAATCATAATTGCATTCCCTCGCAATTGAGTGTGCCCTGCTCTTGTAAACTGCATTTACATTAAGGAAAAGGTAAAAGTCTATCAGATGATATCAATCAAACAAATCTCTCTCCTCCCCCTTTCCCTACTTCTCTCACCCTTTTCCTCTCATTCTATCAATTAGTGTTTGAACTTATTTTCAAACATGCATCAAGCATTTTTTAATTTCCTCATAATCTTTTAGCCAACTTTAATACAAGGAGGCTACTTTTCATGACGTGTAATAAAAATTTTTGTTTCAAGAGAAATAAGATTATCCAGACTTTACCTGATTATATGCAAGTGCCATAGATACAGCACCTCTCATGAGACCAGCCCACCATATTATGATCTGAACGAAAGAAATACAGAGAAATAGTAATGTCAATTAACATCATCAATTGATTTGGGAGCGGAAAGAACACCAAGAACTTGTACTTGTTGCCTAAAGCTGATTTTTTCACTAGCTGATTTCTTTGCTAAGTTGGATAAAAAGGACAGGGGAAACACGAAAGCAGCTCTTCCAGCCATAACCAGAGCAACCAGCACAGAACTAACAGCAACGGATGTTCCAGGCCTGAATAAAGGAAATCAAATACAATGTCACAACAATAGGTCATTCTGTAAATGGAAGTTATGTTGTACAAGTTGCATGGGAGAAAAGGAAATGGAAAAGAAAATCTGAAAAAGAGGTTCAAGACAAAAAATGACTCATTAATATACACTTCCACCAAAATCTGGTTAGAGTACTTCCTAGCAGGTGCATAGAGCATACCTATCATTTACAAATCTCCATTTCTCAATGTCCAAGGCATCCATGCCGACATAAAGAAAGATAAAAGTCTCAGCAACAAATGACAAAGTAGCAAAAGCATGCCTGTGTTTAAACAAAAGAACTGAATTAATTGAGGCATATAAAAAGTTAAAATTTGTTTTGAGAGAGTTTTTTTCCCGTAATATCAATGACTCATGACCTTTATTGCCCTAAGATAACACAGTGGAGTAGACATACTTGGTAGTTACTCTTGAACTCTCAGTAACATTGTGCCAGGTGTAATGGGACATAACAATCCCACAAAAAAAGACCGTGAGAATGCCACTCAAATTTAACAGCTGCAAGAGGCAACTCTTAGAGTTATTAAACAAGCACATTAATCATCAAATTTAGAAGCTCATCATAAAAGGAAGGGTTGCAACAAACTGCCATATTATGCTAAGAAGAGTCTTACTTCAGCCATGATATATGAAAGGTATGCCATGAGCATCATAAGAGCAAACTCACGATCTGTAGAGTGCCTGAATCATGTTAAAGTCAAATACATTCAGTAATTAGTTCTAGGCTTCAAAGACATTATACCATCAACACTGTACTGTAATAACAAAATTCATGTTCAGTTGAAGTTCTTGTTAACTAAAACTTTTTAATATCACAAATGATTAAAACACACTACTTTTGTGTAAACCATCATTCCCTGGTGATGAGCATTAGATTCTTATAGAAGTATTTCGAGGTTGTTTGATCAGTAGAAGACAATTGCTGAAAAACTAGTTGATAAAACCATAAAAAAAAAAAAATACCTGCCAAAGTACAACTTTTTGATGATGTAAGCACTTACCAGCCCAACCTGTGAGGGAAAGAAAACTATCACACCTAGCTGGAACTGCGGTGTTCAGAGAATGAATCAGATTTGTACGAAAAGAGGCTTACAACTACTCCCAGCAGAGTGCTTGCTAAAAATAAATACAAAAAGCTGGCAATAAACTCCAAGGCAATTCTGGGATTGGTATTAGTGAGGTCAAAACTCTGGATTGCATTAAAAGCACCACTGATGTTGCATCATTTACAACACCCTCTCCAAAAACCAGACTGTAGAGTAATGGAGTCTCATCCTGATTAAGCACCTGTATCATCAGAAGAAACAGCTTCACTTTAGCAAGTTTGATATACTAGTCGTTTCAATTTAGAAATGCTGCTACAATTTTAACTTATGCATACCTGCAGTGTGCAAACAGAATCTGTTGCAGCAAAGATTGCACCAATTGCTGAAAATTGTAGGGAAAATAGTAAGATACCCAAACATGAACAAAGCCAGTTTGAAAAATAAGGGAGAAATAAGGGAAAATACATAGAAAATCTCCAATATCCAATGAGCCAATGTCCATTTCCTTAAAGAACTGAATAACACCTGTTTGAAGCATCAGAGTTGCAATCATTACCTGCAAAATTAATCTTGGCAATACTAGGATGTACATCAACAAACTATACCAACTCCTAAAACTGCTCCCTGGCTGCCAATCCCCACTCACAAAAACAAAAGAGAAAAGAAATTGTATATCTGCATAACTGAATCCATAAAGTTGTGGAAAATACCCAAAGATATAATTGTACAAGATATTAATGTACCAACAGCCCCAAACAGCATGATGGTGATAAAGTTACGGAAAAATTGCTTCTTTTTCACCTGAAACCTGGTAGAGAAAGCAGAGATCAGAAAAGTTTTAAGAAGGCAAATAATTAACTAAAAGTAGTCTTCATTTTTTACTCTTAACAAATTTAAATTAAAAAAAAATCTCAATATCATAGAAAAGACACCTATGTTCCTCCATTTACAATATTGAAAACATGGGGAAATTCTCAATGCACTCAAGTTCAAGTCAGGATAGAGAACAAAGGAAAACAAAGGAAAATATGTTTAAACAAAATAAAGGTTCATATTGCTTAAGTGTTGCATATCCATCTATTTTACCTTTTATAAGCTATAATAAAAACTCTATTTTCCATTAAAAGGAGAAATGAAAATCAAAGGAAAACACACTTACCCAGCATTGAATATAATAGGGGGCAGAAGATAAATAAAGAAAAGATCTTCACTGAAGACTAAAAGATGCGAGCTTTTTCCCCCACTCGTCAACAAGATAACGACCCCTGTACAAAGACCCTGCCGATAATATCAATTAAATCAAATATATCAGACGAGTAAAACACATATTCCAAGCAAACAAAACTTAGCAGAATGGTTCATAAAAGAGTAAAATCAGTGCCCATAGATGTCAAGAGAGAAACTCACAATGACAAGTGCAGTAATTGATTCGTTCATCCATCTATTTTCCTCCAAAAGATGACCAATCACAATACATGCACAAAGAAGTGCGACGAATAGGTTCATAGAGACTATAGACGCATGGTCTGAAGTAGATAGCGTTTGCAACTTGGTAAAGACAGCAGCTAACTGCGGTGCCACCATATTGACCTCTTTTCTTATCAAAACTTATTGAAAAACCAACTGACTTGATCCAAAGCTTTAAATTTAGATTTTCCTTCAACACTTAAAAATCTTCGAAAATTTCTCTGTCTCTGAACTGTCCATTTCAAGAACTTTCGAATCTCATGATTTACACGAACTCTGCATTTATAAAAACCAATAAAAAAAAACCAAAGAGTTAAACTCATTTCCTCGCATATTCATTCTCAAAACCTCCATTTTTTTTTTCCATTTGTCTTTGTTTAATTCTGTTTTTATGGCTCTCGTTGTCTTGAACTCTCGATTAAACAAATATAGATACTGAAAATTAAAAAAAAAAAAACTCGAAATATTGAGAAAAAATAGAAATCATTAATCTTAATATATAATAAAAATGTAGGTAAGAAGAAAAAAGTGAAGAATTTAGAAATTATTGTCAGTTACGGAAGTTAGTTATTCTAAAACGATTCTTCTAACTGAAAAACAACAACAAATAATTTTCTTTTCCTTTTCTTTTTCACGGCTCCACTTTCTTAGCCACCAAACATCCAAGAAAAACTTATCGAATCGACATGAGGAAGCAACAACAGCAACATGCATGAAGAAAGCATTTATATTTCCACTTTTTTGAATTTCTTTTACAAATATATTGCGATTTCATTGAATCAAAACGGCAAAACACAGCAAAAAAAGTAAAAAATGTTATCTTCTTTTACTTTCCTTTCCTCCCACAATCTCAGCAACCAAACATCTAAACACAACAAAAAGAACTAAAACTTACCGAATAGAAGAATCAACAGCGTGCAGCAACAAAGCATTCGTATTTCAGCTCTGTTCAACTTTTTTTTTTCTTTTCTACTTTTGCAAATAATTTGTGATTTTATCGAATAAAAACAACATGCAATTTCAGAGGCCCGCCAATTCGAAGAGAAAGGTAACGAAAAAATAATGGAAAAAGAGAATCCAAAGCTTCTCTCCCACGGGTCACGCAAAAAGTTGCCGCAATTTTCTTCTTTTTTTTTTTCAGCTTCAAAATTTTGTTTTTGATGGGAGAGAAATAAACAAAACGAAAAAAAAAAAAAATGAGAGAACGTTGAAAAAATTTTGAAACTGCTTTGAGAGATCGAAAATGGAGCTTTTATTTTACAAGAAAATTTCAGAAATTAAAAAAAAAAAAAAAGAACAAGAAGTTTGTTAGAGAGAGAAGAAGGAGAGGCGCGTGTTACGCGGGATGCGGGTGATAGATGAATGGGTGTTAAAATACGGCGGATGGGAAAAAAAAATTAAAATGTAAACTTGAATCAGGACCGTGTATTTATTTCTGATTTGTTGAAGGGTGAATTGTGGGGTTTTGATGATGGTTTGATATGAGATTGGATGTAGGGGAATATGGTACTTAGGAGTCGGAAATAGTAGCGCACGTAACAACTTTACATCTCCCTCCTTTGGAAACAGTTACACAATTAACCGCTAATAATTTGTCTTTTCGGAGTTACGGGCTCTGTTTAATTAAGTTGATTTATTTATATCGATTTTAATCAATTTATAAAAAATTATTATTTATAATTTTTTATAAATTTAAACTTAAAATTATTATAGAAATAAATTTTCTAATCACTTGAATCAATATTCATAATTTATGGTAGAATGCTTCTTCTATTACAATGATATATTTCTTTAATTTTGTTATCGAGATTATTTATGTCTAATCAATAATCATTGACCAAACTATTTTTGAATTACAAAATAGTTTGTTTTTATTTTTTACAAAAATGAAATAAAAATTAGAAATATTAATCAATTAAATTTTAATTTTAAAATATAGTTAAAAATATTAGCATATTATTATCAAATTATTTAACAATAAAATCAACTTAAATGAACAGATAAAGTTTTTTTTTACATCAATTAAATAATAATAATAATAATAAAATAACTTTTACATCAATTAAATTTTAATTTTTTTTCTGAAGTTACATATAGGCAATGGGCTCCACAAAATATGACACTATGAAGATTGTTGTTATGTTTTGGCCCAAAAAGTTGTTTATTGGGCCCAAAGAAACACCAAATAGCCTAGTAATTTATTTGGGCTTTCTCTTTGGGCCTTAACCATTATGATCCATCCTTGCCTGCAAAAATAAAATGGCTTCCTTCTTCATTCCTTTTCTTTTTCCAGCAATTCCCCTGTCAAGTGTAAGGTTTCAAGCTTCACCCGGGGTTTATGATTTTTTTTTTTAATAATGATTTTCTAATTAACTAGGGTTTTTCTTTCTATTAACTTCAAATAATTTCCGTTCCATTTTTTTTTTACGACCCTTGTTCAGGAACTCCAGTGCTCAAGTAGAAAAAAGAAATTTTAAGAATTAAAAAAATCAGGGCTTGGGCTAGAGTTCATTTCTTTTTTTTTTTTTTAAATGATATAACCTCAAAAAACGACATGTCGTTTCGACGTCCTACTAATATAATTTTAGAAATCCTACGTTGAAATCTTCACCTGCTCTCCGTTCATTTCTTTCTTCAGATCAACTGAAACTCTGAAAACTTTCACCTCAAAAACAACTCATAAATTTTCCCTGCATTTGCAACTTTAATCCTATATGCTTCAAAAATGAAACTCACCCTTTCTTTTACATTTCTTTCTTTGGCCATCTTCTCCTTTATAATTCCATCCCATGTGTCATCTTCTTCTCTTCCTTCCGTTTCCTTCGTTGGAATTCCTCCCCAAGGTACACTATTTTTTTGTACCTTTTTTTTGCCTTTCTCTTTAAAGTTTCATCCTTTTTGGCTTCATATTTTTGTAATGAAAACTGGGTTCTTTGTTTTTTTGAATTAAATGAAACATAAACAGATGAAGATTACTTCAAAGATGAGGTCATAAAGTGTAAGAATGGATCAAAGAAGTTCACCAAAACCCAACTCAATGACGATTTCTGCGACTGCCCAGATGGCACTGATGAGCCAGGTTCCTCTCTCTCTCTCTCTATTTGGTTTCCTTTTCTTTTCTTAGACTGATATATTTGTTATTTCTTTTGTTATCAATGGTTTGATTTTATTTTTGGGTTTTGATTTATTTGAAGTAATGATGAAACATGTTGCTTGAGGAATTTGGATGTCTTGTTTATGCTAGAGACTTAGAGTTACTTGTTCTTTTCTCTGCTTTGTTCGTTTGCTATAATTTTCTTTAATTTTTTAAAATGTTGGTTGCAGGAACATCAGCTTGTCCGCAAGGAAAGTTTTATTGTAGGAATGCTGGGCATTCTTCTTCTTTGCTGTTTTCCTCCAGAGTCAATGATGGCATTTGTGGTATGTTTTGTTTTCAGCAATCTGAAACTTTTGGATCATCTGTTGAATTGTTGTTTGCCTTTTTTAAAACTTGTTGAAGTACATTTTCCGTACCATGTGCTAGTATGCTATGCCCTTTTTGATCTGTAGTTAGTTTTATTGATTATTTTACTATGTGAATAAAAAGAGCAGATTGCTGTGATGGGAGTGATGAGTATGATGGTAAAGTGAAATGTCCTAATACATGCTGGGAGGCTGGCAAAGCAGCAAGGGAGAAGTTGAAGAAAAAGATTGAAATGTATCATGAAGGTGTTGCCTTGAGAAAACAAGAGATTGAGCAAGCAAAACAAGCAATAGCCAGAGACAAAGCAGAATTATTAGGGCTGAAAAATGAAAAAGAAGTTCTTGAGAAGGTTGTTAAGCAACTAGAAGGTACACCTCCGATTTGTTTGTTCTTTTAATATTTATGGCTTATGGTTTATATCCCTCGAAGTTCATTAAATAATCATTATTATCATGATTATTGCCAAAAGTGCTATTGCCTTCTACTTAATATAGATTTTCTGAATTCTCATTATTAATGCCTTATATAAGTTTAATATTATAGAAGAACTGAAGAATATAAATATGAATACGTGCATATGTCTTGAAAAAGATTGCTTGCTGGCCATTGTTGCTACATGGCTTTATATATATGCCAAATATATAACTTTGCTAAGCAACTGATAATATATGTCATGCTATATGCCTTGTTTATTTGATTTGATTCACAATGTCGTACATGAAGAGCAAATTCAGAAGTTGAAACAAAGAGAGCTCCTAGAGAAAGAAGATAAGATAAAAGAAGCTTCGAATGAGAAAATTGAAAATGAAAAGAGTGGACCTGAGGAGAATGTTGATGGCCAAATAGAACCCTTGAAAATATCAGATGTTGAAAAAATGGGTCTATCAGGGGAATCTCCATCAGATCAGGTGAGATATTATGCAAATCAATTTGATGCCTACCTTTTATCTTGTACTCTTATTTTTCTTTTCTATTGTATCTTCTATATTTTCCCATGTGTCATTTCTGCTTGCTTTGTGATCTAGTATCACTTTCCTTTTACTTATTCTGTTTCAGTTTTGCTTTTAAAGATTTTCCTTATTCTTCGCAATTTTGATTCCTTCTTACTTGAGGAAAAACTGAGAGAAAAAGGATACAGAAAAATCTTGCTGAACAAATGAAACGATGGAGTAATGAAGAATTAAAAACAAGATATCGGCTATAGTGTCAAACTACGCGAAAAAGTATGGTGTATTATTCAGGGATGGAAAAAGCTTGATTCACAACTAAACATTTATTCCTTCCTAAATCTTCTAGAGAGCGAATATTTCAGGAGAAGTGATATAGATTTACTGGCTCTAGATGAGCTCTACATAATATGTTCTCCCTCCTCTCACACTTTGTTGCATTTTGACTGCACTATGTCCTATGATTTAAAGGATGATAACTGAAGGCCACGTCTAAACTTTTTACTAGTGATTCTTTCAAATTTGGATGCAGAAATGCTCACTATTGATTGAATATTGGATATGATTAATACTTGTTGGAGATTCAATATGATCTTGATATTTAAATTGTAAACATTGTATGTTGACATGGCAAATCTAAAAGATTAAACTTACAGATGGACAAACAATTGGGTCATTTCACGTTAATATGCTTAATTTACTTTAGGGAAATAATTTGTTAGAGAATATTGTCCATTACTGTATATGGATCAATTGGTTTCAGAGTGAGAAAGATGAAAATGAAAGTACTGAAGGATTGTCAAGAGAAGAACTTGGTCGCCTCATTGCATCACGCTGGACAGGGAAAAAGACTGGGGACCAAGTTGAGGAGATTGATCCTGCTAAAAGTGATCACATGGGCAACAGAGACAAAGAAGAGAGTGCATATGAGAGTTCATATGATGAACATATTGATAATAATGCTTTACAATTCAATGAAAAGACTCAAAAGCATCAGGAGAAAGGCAGAAAAGATGCTAGAGATGCTGAAGATGAAGAGTCTGTAGCAGAAGATCGTGAAAAGTCATCAGGTTCTAGCTCTTCTGAAGTAGTTGGGAAAAGAATCATTTGCATGGTTTTACTTATATCTTATATAAACTGTTTTCTTTTCGATTTCTTGATATCTTCAGATATAGCAACTCTAAGCCATCAATCTTGGTTGGTTAAGATACAGGAAACTGCTCAGAACTTCCTTCAGTCAGTTAACTTGTTTTCGGCCCCCGTTGCTAATCTAGGTAAGCAATACAGTTGCCAATATCCATTGTACTATAAACAATTAATGAACATATAAAATGCATTATTTTTGCTTTTTGCTTTTTGTAGATGCAAATCAGGTTCGGAAGGAATATGATAACTACACTGCAAAGTTGTCTGATATAGAGTTAAGGATTTCAAGTTTGACAGAAAAGTTCAAATATGATTTTGGTGAGTCAGAGATATAATTTGGTGACTTTTTACTATATAGTAAAAGTTATACAAGAAATGTATTGGTATTTTTTCTCCACTTATTGAATTTTGCTTTTAAACTCCAGGAAGAGAGAAGGAATTCTATTTATTCTATGATCGTTGCTTTGAGTCCAAGCAGGACAAGTAAGAATAAAGCTTACCTTGTTCTTGTTTACTCTCTCATTGTTGTTGCTTTGGGCAATGAATTTTTTGGTTTCAGGTATGTGTACAAAGTTTGTCCATTTAAAGATGCAATACAAGAGGAAGGCAGCAGTGAAACCCGGTTGGGGTATGTATTTCCTTTTCTTTTCCTAATCGCTTCCATAAGTGCCAAATGCTAGGGGCATTTTATAGAATTTGCCTGTGTCACAGCTACCATAGATTTGTGCTGCAAATTAGGTTGATCACGGAAATGTGGTTGTAAGTGACAAGGGAGTATTCATGAATATGCTGGAATGTTACTTCCTGTTCTGATTTATTAACATGATAATTAGTCGCAAAACTGATTCTTTGAAGCAAGGAAGTAAGTATGAACAGGACAGCTGAGGAGAGATTTTGAAAATTAATCATTCCTTTTTCTGAATTATTATCAACAATTCTACAGTATGAGGCCAAAATATTTCAAGTTTAGATTGTAATTTAAGTATTTGACAAAAAGTATATATTTAAATGGTGAGATGGGGGAGAAAACCTACTATTTCGACCTTTAATCATGAGCAAGTAGAGGTAGTGTTGTATACAACAAAGTTCAAATGTTGAGGGTATTGGCAAAACACTGAGAAAAGAAAACAATGGAAGTGGGAGCAGAAGGCTGGTTTGTTCACTTAAATCTTCAATATGAATTTTGATTTTAAGGCACCGCAGCCTATTTAGAAAGGCCATTGGCTGGTTGATGCCTTTTCTTGAGAAATAGTTCTTTTTTGTATTAAATGTATTCTTTCCCCCTCATTATAGGAACTGGGAGAAGTTTGGGAATTCATATAGAATGATGATGTTCTCAAACGGAGATGGATGCTGGAATGGACCTGATAGAAGTTTAAAGGTAACATTTATATGTGGATAAATAGGGTTGTTATACAGAACTGTAAGTCCTCCATTTGTGGCCCATGTTAGCTATCTGGATGGTATTTGATTACAGATTAATTTTGGGTTGATCCTGAAGAAAAGTTGCTCCATTTTGAAATAACCTAGATATGTTAATGATAACTTCGTTCCTCATCACAAAAAAATTCAAGAATATAAATTGGGTGATCCAGGCTGGCTAAATGGCTTGTTCTCAAGAAGCTCTCCTTTTAGATGCAAAATTCTTATAATTGATCCTTTGTTTTTATAGGTTAAACTAAGGTGTGGACTACAAACTGAACTAACTGGTGTGGATGAACCGAGCCGCTGCGAGTATATCCCTCCCTCCATTCTCCTCTCTCTCCCTCTCTCTTGATTGTGCACATGCACATACAGTCATGCATGTGTGCATGTAGTTTAAAAACTATGCCATCTAACTCTGCTTGGTCATGGCAGATATGTTGCTCTCATGTATGCCCCTGCCCTCTGCCTAGAGGAAAAGCTTAAGGTAATTTTATCGCACAAGAAGCCCTCTTGATCTTCTGCTTTTATTTTATATCTTCTATAATAGTGGTGGGTCTGGCAGGAACTCAAACAGAAACTAGAATCAATGAACCGAGAACAATCATGGAGTCATGATGAGCTTTAACTTGCTGACATCTACTTACATCATCCTGGCTAGTCAGACAGTATTCATACTTTGGTGGTTATCTGATTGTTTTCCATGCTTTGTTTCGGACTAGCCAACTGATATCTTTCTCTATGAGCGAACTTCATGTAACAGCTGTAGTCCTTCGCAAAGAGTGGATCAGAAACTCGAAGCTGATTGCAATTTGTGACAGATACACCAGATATTTTTCTGCTTAACTTTAGGCAACTCTTATAATTTCTTATATTTCTTTTGTGGCTGAGAAACAGGATCCAGATTTTTGCTGTGCCTCGTAGGTTACATGATATTAGAAGTTCCTAGAAAGCAGTATAGACATGTATCATTTGTTTGGAACTCCATGACATTCTCTCAAGTACAAGATTGGCAAAGAATAATTTTAGAAGTACAAGAAATGAGACTCAGATGCCATAGTCTTCTCTTTGTTTTATAAGGAATGGTGAATCTACTATACAAAGGGAGTTATGCATTTGATATGCTGTGTGCCTGCATTCTTGATATAGTATTTTGCATAAATCATTTGGTTGGAAAGGGCTAAAAGTTACACCAGACAAAAGAAAAAGTGATTTGTGAAGATATTGAAGGGGCACACAGCATCTATGTTCTTTTTATTTTATTTTATTTTATTTTTATGATTATGCTTCATTTGCACGCACTGAATAAATGCCAGAATGCCAACTTTTGTTTGCAGTTAGTGATGCAAATTGCAGAATAACTTCTTTTTTCAACACACCGACCATGATATCTTCAGGTTGAACAGTTTGACAAATGGTTTAATATCTTACCTTTTAAATTCTAAATTTAATCTAATTGATTCATTTAATTACTTTTAAAATGTAATGTTTAATAGATTTAGAATGTAAATTTTTTACAATCTTTTTACAATTTTGTAATTTCCATCTTGAATGGGAAGAACTTAGTTCAAGATTTTGATGCCTTTGGAGACAATCCCATGGATGTGAGTGGACTATAACAAATTGTTTAATGTTCAAACTATTCCAAGCCACTATAATAAAATATAATGCCAGAATTTTATGAAAAGTGGCATATGAAGGAATTATCCTTTACATTATTAGTGAAAGAAATCTATTATTTTATATTGCAAAAAAAACAATGGACAGATATTGTGATCCAAGAATTATACTTGTGCTTCTATGTCAGTTCTGTCTTGTCGGAGGCTACTCTTTGCAAATCTTCACTTTAAAATTTCTTAAATACGGTATTATTAAACTCCATTTTTCTACTGATCAAGCAAATAATTAAGCTACTAATTACGTTAAATTGGAATATATATATATATATATATGTATGTATGTATATAAGGGCAGGCGCAAAGTCAGAAAAATCATGAAGGGAAGCCGAATCAGCAAATAAATTAAAAAGGAAAAAAACTTATATAAAGTTATTTAGGCGGAAGTTTATAAAGTGTTTTTTTAAAATAATATAATAAAAAATTTAATATGAAGATTAATAATATGTAAAAAAATTATTTATAATTTAAATTTAATCGATATTTATTCAATGATAAAAATTTATCAAATTTTTTATTAAAAATATTTATAAAAAATATATATCAAAATTTATTAAAATTTTTTTAAATTTATATATTTGATCTATGTAACGATATTTTTTTAGTTTATCAGTTTTAATTTTTTATTTTAATTTTAATTTGATTATTTTTAACTAAAAATTTCACCAATTTCACCTAAATTTTTCCTAATAAAAAATGGGTGAGTTTTATATTAAAGGGTCGGAACGATTATCAATTTTTTGGGACATAACCCGTTGCCCTATAGATTCGCCTCAGATAAGGGAACATCAAGAACTTCATGGAAAAACAATTATAAGGTCAGAAATCAACAATTTTTATGCCAAATTTTCAGAAAAATATCTTATATTAAAATCGTTGAAAATATTATGATAAAATAAAAATAACATTGGTCACTTCTGCTAGTATTAAATATAAATTTGTAGTATAACTTATATTATTAAAACCTATAGCTTACATGGTGGCTTTGGAATTTGTATAATTTTTTAATTTATTAATAATTATATTTTTTTAAAAATGAGAATTTAATAATAAAATATATACCAATTATAGAGAAGAAAAAAATTGAAAACCCTTTTTTCCTTGACCCAAAGGAATTCCGACTCTCATTATGACTGCTTGTTTACTTCTATAAAACTTGTATATAAAACAAAACACTATGTCAAAACCCTTAACAAGATCCTAAACCACTCCAAAAACTTGCCATTAACCATACCTTATACATAACCCTAAACCCTGGTTTTATTTTTTCTTAGTTATGGAGAACGTGCTAACAGGAGGAAAGGGCATGGTGAGACCAAAGACAAAGATCGTTTGCACCTTAGGGCCAGCTTCGAGATCGGTTGAGATGATTGAGAGGCTTTTGAGAGCTGGCATGAACGTTGCTCGTTTCAACTTCTCGCATGGCTCCCATGCATACCATCAGGAAACCTTGGATAATCTAAGGACCGCCATGATCAACACTGGCATTCTTTGTGCTGTCATGTTGGATACTAAGGTACCCTTTTGTTTCTTTTTCAAAGCTCTTAAATATGGTTTGTTTTCTTTTATGTTTCAACTTTGTTTTCTCTGGTGTTTCTTTTCAGGTTCATACTTTTAGCCTGTGTTTGATTTATGGATTATTAGTTAAAGTTCTTTTGTTTGTTTAAGTTGCTGTCTTTAATCTCTTTCTGATTCAACTTTATTGAAAAGGGTGTGTATTTGTTGATAAATTAATATGATCTCTAACGTTTTTCCAAGTTTCAAAGCAATGGAAAGAGATTTTGCCTGTTCATGTTCTATGTATTTTCAGACAATTATTTTAAAAGTTACAGTGCATAATCTGGGGAATTCGTCCTGACAATGTTTAATATTTCAGGGACCAGAGATTCGAACTGGCTTTCTGAAGGATGGGAAGCCCATAAAACTCACTCAGGGTAAAAAGATAACTATCACCACTGACTATAGCAGAAAGGGTGATGAGAATGTTATCTGTATGAGTTACAAAAAGTTGGCTGAAGATTTGAAGCCTGGGAGTGTAATCTTGTGTTCTGATGGCACAATTACATTAACTGTCTTGGCTTGTGATAAGGAATTGGGATTGGTCCATTGCCGTTGTGAGAACTCTGCAGTTCTGGGTGAGAGGAAGAACGTCAATCTTCCGGGGGTTGTGGTTGATCTTCCAACCTTAACAGAGAAGGACAAAGAGGATATCCTGCAATGGGGTGTTCCAAATAAGATAGACATGATTGCCTTGTCTTTTGTTCGTAAAGGTTCAGACCTTGAAGAGGTCAGAAAGTTGCTGGGAGAGCATGGAAAAAACATACTTCTCATGTCAAAGGTTTGTCATGTTTTTAACAGACGATGAGACTTGTAGAACATATGCTGACAAAGTTAGCACTTAATGTGTTTCTCCATTTTTAACATTTGTTTTGTTGATTGGCAGGTTGAAAATCAAGAAGGGGTTGCTAATTTTGATGATATTCTAGCAAATTCAGATGCATTTATGGTTGCAAGGGGTGATTTGGGAATGGAGATCCCAATTGAGAAGATATTCCTGGCTCAGAAATTGATGATTATTAGGGCCAATTTACAGGGAAAGCCTGTGGTGACTGCTACTCAGATGCTGGAGTCTATGATAAAATCTCCAAGGCCTACTAGAGCTGAAGCTACTGATGTTGCTAATGCAGTTCTTGATGGTACTGACTGCGTGATGCTAAGCGGAGAAACTGCTGCTGGATCATACCCTGACCTTGCTGTTCAAACCATGGCCAGAATTTGCATGGAGGCAGAAAACTTTATAAGCTATGGAGATCTCTTCAAGAGAATAACGGAAACTGCACCTATGCCTATGAGCCCACTGGAAAGTCTGGCTTCCTCAGCTGTGAGGACAGCTAATTGCATTAAAGCATCTCTAATTTTGGTCCTAACCAAAGGTGGAGCCACTGCAAAGCTGGTGTCCAAGTACAGGCCAAGTATGCCTATTTTGTCTATGATCATCCCAGAGATAACAACAGATTCCCTTGAGTGGTCATGCAGTGATGAAGCTCCGGCCAGGCATTGCCTTATTTTCAGGGGTCTGATCCCTGTTTTGAGCTCTGGCTCTGCAAAAGCTTCTTACACTGAGTCTACGGAGGAAACAACCAAGTTTGCCCTTCAATATGCAAAGGAAAACGGACTTTGCAGACCAGGAGACTCAATTGTAGCATTGCACCCTTCAGTGATGAAGATCATGACAGTTCTATAGAGTCTGATTAGATTTTTGCGGCTTCTAACAAGTGATACTTTCTTTCTAGCTTAGTTTTGGTAGCTTTAATAAACAAGTTTGATTTAGTATTGGAGGACAATTTCAAATGAGTGTTATGCCATTGCAATTTCATGAAAGGAAATATTTAATCAATTCATCATTTTTCATTTTAATCAAAATTTGAGATTTTTTTTAATACAATGTATAAATAAAATATTTTTTCTTTTCATTTTTGGAATAAAACAATGTTACAACAGCAGCAAAGAGATTACCTCAATGCAGCAAAGTATGTTGCAGAAAAATTTCAGGTTAGGCCAGAAATACTTAATAAAATCATCTGAAGGAAAAGATTTTTAATTATCATCTGTATCTGTCTGAGCTGCATTTGCACTTCCTGGCATGGCCTCTGATGAGGGAGCTGAGATGGAATCACTTTGGGGACCTGGTGATGTGAGTAAACCATCATATGGCCATGGAATAGGGATCCAATACCTTCTTCCAGTTCCTACCCTGCTACTACTTTGGGCATCATTACTGCCAACTCTTCCTTCACTATTTCTGGTGACATTTGCCTCAATCTTGGAATCATCCGAAGGCAGCTGGTACCTGCATACTGGGCAAGAGCTATGAAGTTCCAGCCATGGAGAAATACACCTAGCATGGAATTTATGTTTACATGGCATCTCCTTTGCTTCACTACCAATCTCAATATCCTCCAAGCATACAGAACACTGCACACTGTCCTCTACAGTAACAGTTGGCATTGCTTCAACTGCTTCTTTCTGTGCTGGTGGGGTTCCATAGCGATTAGGATCATTTTCTGCCAAATACTGTAACAAACGATCCCAACCAGTTCCCATCAGGTAATCACCAAAAGAGCTGGCTGCCCTATGGCTTGAGTTTTGTCCTTGGTTAAACCCAAATGAACCTTGAACAATTAAGGCCTCATCATTGAATGGATCGAATAAGATCATTCTACCACTCCTATCTCTACCATTTTCAGAATTCTCAGATTCAGAAGCTGCGACAGCACGCATATCCTGAAGCATCCGAAGAGCTGAAGCTGAAGCCGAAGTTCTTCTCCTCCTCCTAAGCAAGGATTCAAATTCTCTTCCTAGTTCATCATCTAATGCATCCTGTGAGTTGCTATCACTGGTTTGCTCCCTGCCTATGATACGGAACTGCGAAGAACCTAAACCTCCAATCAAACCGAGCAAGATTGGAGCCCAAAGGGAAAGAGTGTTCACTGATCCTGAATCAATGCCATTGGTGTTGGAGTTATGTCTTATGCTGGTCATTTCTTCCACAAATCCGCTCTCACAAAAAGGGCATTTGATCTCAGGCTCTAGCATTGGATTCACCATTTGAGAGCACATGTGACACCAATACCTACCAGCCATCCTATCCTCCATCTTTCTCTACATACGCAACAAACTTACATTAACTTCTTGTAATATAACAAAAGAAAAATTTTTTTAATGTTAGAAAAGGTAACAATGAATGCTTTGTTTCTTCTTAGAAGTGAAACTAAGAACAATATTGGCAGCTACATCTATGAGTCAAGAACATCAAGGGGAAAAAAAAATCTGGAACATGTCAAATGGAAACAGAACGCTATGAACAAGATTAAACTTGAATTGTTCAATGCTAAAAATGTAACACAATAATCCTTTCTTATATTATTTTCTAACACCAACTTAGACATTGTAAAGAAAAACAAGATAAAAGAAACATTAACAAACAGAGATGTCATTAAAAATGATGAGCAGAGAAGATGTTTTTCTGGTACCTTTCAGATAGAGGATGAAGGAATTGATGAACTATGATGGGGAAAAGATCATGAAATGAGTTTAGAGGTAAAAAAGGGTAGACAAAAAGAATGGCGTCCTCTCTTTTTTTTCCCCCAATCTTCTCTTCTGTTGGAGGACAACAATTTTAGTTCAATAGCTATTCTACCAATCATTGTATATGCTTCAATCGCATAACTACAGTTAATGTCAAAACAGTTTATATTTAAATATAGAGTTTTTAATCGCTTTTCTTTTAATGAAAATTAGGCAATTGGTTCCGGTAAGATTACTCAGCACCTCTAATTTTGGGATGTTGGCATTGGGTACAGAACTGAAAATTACTTGATTTTGAACTTTTTCCATTCAGGAAAACATTGCAAAATCATGCTTAATATGCGTTACACCACTTGTTGAACGAACTTCGAATACCATAAACTTAAACTTGGATTGGGTGGGGAGCGCCTAGCCCGGGCTTTACTGCAACGCTTGGGCGACGCACGAGAGCCTCAGCAGCAAGCTACTGTAAATGAGCTCTCACCCCAAAAAAAATTAATTTAATATCATGTGAGCCAATGGCTCACGTATCAGATATTAAACTGATAAGAACAGATACTACACTTGATCTTAGCCAAAAGGCCGAGAAAGGTATGCTGAGAAACTTCAAGCCCGCTTTTCTTAAAGGCATTTTCCTGTCTCTTCTTGTCTTAGTGGCGTCATGTGGGATCTAAACATAAGGTTTTAGAATTTAGAGTCCTGAAGAAACTCGATGGCGCATGAAAAACTGGTAAATGGAGTTCAGCATTGGCTCTGATAATTTCATCAGGGGTTGGTCTCTTCGATCTATTATTGAGTTTCAGCAACTTATTTCTTTTTTCCTGAAATCTTCCTTTTAGAGAATGATTCATGGTTGTTAGTAAAGCAATAATGAGAACGTAGAAAACTATATCCTTGAAGCATGTTCATATATACAGGTAGTTAAAGAGGAAACAACAATCATGTTCATATATACAGGTAATTAAAGAGGAAACAACAATCATGTTCATATATACAAGTAGTTAAAGAGGAAACAACAATGGCGGAAACACTTTTTCTTCTTATGAGGATAAAAACAGCTTTTGAATTTGCAAATCTTTTGTGCCCTGTATTTTATTCCTGCTTTCTTATTAACTTTGTTCATCGCTGCACATTTCTTTTTATCAAACCATTGGATTTTTTTAACTTATGCTAATTCGATCTGGCACTTAGTATTGGAATTTTCCTAATTTATTCATCTTAAAAGAATCAGAAATCCCATTTTTCAAAATCTTTTATGTTCTTGTGAATTTGGGTAACTGATTTTATGTGTATTCATCCAAATATTCACAAATTTAGGACCCCAATAAGTTACCGAAAACCGATATATACCATGACATTGGTCAAGTTTGTAAAACAGCAATCTTTTAAAACTCAAATTTAACATACAGAGAGCCTTAAAAAGAAAACGTACATAAAGAACCTCATCATCTTACCTCAACAAGAACTAATTTTCTATAATGAGAAAATCTGTCGAACATCATCAGAAATAAGTTACTACTTCAAAGACTTCAGGTCCGTTGAAAACAATGATCTAATTGTTATTCCACTAGAAACATGACTGAAGATAGGTAACGACATTCTTATCCAGCAGGAAAGCCTTGGTAAGAACATTAGGATTAAACTGCATTAACACCAGAATTCTGGCTGCTGCGACCTACAAAGACAATTGCATTACTCTTCCCTATATTGAACTGGAAGTTACGTAAATAATCTGGGAAAACGAAAACATCTCCATGGCATGGGACTTTAGTGATGAGACGATTATCTGGGTTGGTTTAGGCCATAAGGTGCATAGTCAATTCAAGCCAAAGATATGCCAAGTGTGCCTGGTATTTGTTCAACACTGACTGAAGTAACTTTTGATCCTAGTTGATTTGATGTGTTTCCGGGGGTATCGAGTCCTGAAAGGGAGAAGTACTCTGCTTTGGCGAGCTTTGGGTCCTTAATGAACTTCCCACCATACCAATGCATTGCAAAACATAGAGATTCTAGTTTGTTCAGGAATTCTGGTTCTTTGTTGAATTTCTTTAGCATAGTGCTTAGAAATTGATTGAACACATTCAAATTTCAAACCGGGTTATCAAATACACACGAGTCCTGAAGAGGGCTAGAATCGGAGGCAATGGCGAATGAGAAAACGAGAGCCAACAGGGAAATTACCACGAGGATTTTAACACCTTCCATTGCAACTAAGCAGCTTTTCCGAGCAGTTATGGTGCAATTACCACGAGGATTTTAACACCTTCCATTGCAACTAAGCAGCTTTTCCGAGCAATTACGGTGCAATGGTGTGTTGCGTCCAAAACTGTTACGACTTAGAAGAAACTTTAACTTCAATTGGGTGGGGTGCGCCAAGCCCTAGCTGTAGTGCAACGCTTGGGCGACACACGAGAGCCCCAGCAGCAAGCTACTGTAAATGGACTCTCCCCCAAAAAAAATTAATTTAATATCATGTGAACCAATGGCTCACGTATCAGACATTAAACTGATAAGAACAGATACTACACTTGATCTTAGCCAAAAGGCCGAGAAAGGTATGATTTGACAGATCAAGTTTCGCTTAATTTAAAGCCAGCTTCTTACTGCTTCTCACGTCCGCTTCTGATGTGGTATTTTAAGTAAACCGACAATAACGCTCTGACTACTATGCTCGAACAAACAAAAAAAACCCTTCCTGAATAGGCTATTTCTGGGCCAATTGTGGCTTGTTAAAAAATCAAGAATTGTAGAAATTGTGAAATAAGTGCCATATTTGCATATAAGATTACTATCTATTCTCCAATATAAAGTCTGAGCGATTTCTTTTGGCAGGGAAACTTTCCATCTCATTCATGAAAGTAGTTAAGAGATAACGAGGATATAAAATGAACTGTCTTTCGGTTAAAGATTCAAATTTCATTTTTAAATAGATGGAAGAAAGAGGTAATCTGGTGTTTGGAACAAGAAAGAAATGGATTTCAGGATTAGGAGAATTCTAGTGTACATTTGCATAGGAGAAACAAGGTTTGCTGGGTGTAACAGAGCAGCTAAACATCTTTTATTAATGCATTGGAAAGATTAACAGAAGCAGAAAGGCAAACCAAAGCTAAGCAGATCGCAATGTAGAAATCAAACCCAAGTTCATCAAACTGCTCACAATGTGGAGAAATATCATTAACTTCAGGTGCTTCATCCTGTCATGAAAATCATTTTAAGGTTCATTTGAATTTGGGTGGCTAGTTTTATGTGTATTAGTCTAGATATTCACAAATTTGATACGTTGAATGGTTTAATTGAATTATTTTTGGTGTTTCTATTGTTTCATGGCACCTTGGGGACAGACAGACAAACCCTTTTTTGATCCAAGAATTTAAACAAATTGCAATACATACACCATGATTAAAAACAAATTCAACATATAAACAAGCTTACATAACACTTACTGAGCAAACCGTCAAAAGAACAATCACAAACAAAATAGAACTTGATGGATGTTGAAAGCTGAAATATTCTCTATTTTTATTCTATCAGAACTGTGATTGAAGATGCTTCACCACATTGTTATCCACCTGGAATGCCTTGGCAAGAATATCAGGACTAATGGGATCGATCCAAACACTGCGTTTCCAATGGTTACCACACCAGGATTCTGGCTGCCCAAAGCAGCAAAGGCAACAGCATAAGTTTTCCCTACATTAGACTGGAAGTGAATTAGACCAAGTGGGAAGACAAAAATCTCCAGGATATAGGACTTTGGTGAAAAGACGATTTGCCGTGTTGGATGTAACAAAGCCAACATAAAGTGTTCTTTATAAGAAAACCAGCATGTCTGTGGCACGAGGGTGAGTGTGAGGGAGGTTTAGGCCACCGTAGGGGGCATAGTCGATTTGAGCCAGAGAGATGCCAAGACTGTTAAGTCCTGGTCTTCGTTCAACATTGACAGGAATGACTTTCGATCCCAATTGATTTGATGCGTTTCCTGCCAAGCCCTGGAAAGAAGTTTTCTGCTTTGACAAGCTTTAGATCCTTGCATACCTCCCCATTAACAAATACTACATGATTGACATATAGTGTAGATTAGTTGGTATCAGTCCATAAAATATACAAATACAATTTTTGTTTTTTCAAACTTTTTTCGTTCAATGCCGACTGGCACCTTTACTTGCCAGAATGTAGTTTTTCTTAATTTCTTTTTTGAAATAGGATACTCTTGAATATAAAAGTAAACCAATACAAATATATATAAGTATATTTTACATAAATAAAATAATTTTTTTAAAAAGAAAATTTCACTATGTTTTTTTTTTTTTTAATTTATAAAAAAGGATTTCTTTTTGTTAAAAAAAGAAATTTTTTTGTTTCTTTTTGTTTGAAGAGACCCATTTGGTTTATTATTTAATTTTAAACTTAGATAATTTTATAGATATGTATATATTATGAGATGTTATTAACTTTTTTTGCACTACGAAAAAAATTTGACGGTGTTCTGTTATTGTAATATGGACAAAAAATTGTTAAGGTTAAAAGTTTAACTGTACTGGAAAAAAAATTTTACATTCGCAGGAAAATCTCATAATATGAAAATCTCATAAAATCTTAATTATTATAATATATAATTAATCATTTATAATCTTAAATTGCGTAGAATCTATTAAAATATTATATGAAATTTATATTTATAAATAATTGATCTTTATATAAGTTGATATTGTGAATGGTTAATTGTAAAATTATACTAAAAAAATTATAAGTAACATGCTTCCAATCGGCAAATATTCTACAATTTTTTGTTATTTACCTGTTGAAGCCATCCAACTTGCTACTCGCTAGGTTTTTTTGCTTGTTTTAATATAAATTTATGACTTTATATTTGATTCATAGGTTTTTTTTGGGCAGTTCAATACAGCCTACAGGGTGAACTTGAGGGCATGAAAGCTGAATTGGCAATGATGCGAGAGGAGAAAATGTGCATGGAAGCATGGCTAATAGCTGCGGAAAGTGTACTTGAAGAGAAGAAGAAAGTGTTTTCAGAGTATAAAGTCATGGAAAAACTGGCTGATGACTTGCTGGACGTTGTCATTGAAGCAGGAGTTGATAACCTTCAGGAGAATAATGGTCAGAACCTTAACGAGAAAAGCATGAAGGGATTGATAGAGGAAGCCATGATCAGGGACCTTTTTTTTTTTTTTTCTAAGCCAAAATTTATTAAAGTAACCAAAAGGTTACAAAGCAGCTAGTCAAGACTAGCAAAAACAGAATCCCCAATACCATTACAAACCCATATGAGTGTCAAAGATCTCCTAAAAATAAAACGAAGAAAAACACTCTACAATCTTTCCAGAAAATTCAAGAGCAATCTAAGATACAAAAACAAGAATCCAAAATATGACAAACTATGAAAGAGCCCACCACACTTGAGTTTTGAAGGAAAATATAGACAATTAATCATCGAAAGCAAGAAAAGGATATACTTATTATGGATTCAAAGATAGATATCAAGTAATGACCAGTTGATGGAAAATCAATCACACCATCATAAAACACAGAACCACCATGTGCCAACTATCAAACACTAGCTGCTAGCATTATTATCTAAATCCCTCTATTTCA